GCCTGGGATTCAAGAGTTAACCTTTGTCTGGTCAGCTGTTTCTGGGGGTTAAACCAGCCCAGTCTTAATCCCTTTGATCATCAGTCCTCCCTCTCTGTTACTGGCTTTCTTGAGTTCAGCTCAGTACTTAACCAAGGGAGTCTGCCTCTTCTTCGATCAGCCACTAAATAAAGTTTCTGTTTCCCAGACTCTCTGGCCATAGGATTGTAGGCTGGCACTCCCCAGATCTATGTCTAAAATCCATATATGAGAGAGTACATGCCATGTTTCTCTTTTTGTGACTGGGTTACCTCACTCAGGATGGTTTCTTCTAGTGGAGACCTCAGTTCTTATTTATGTGTATGGGTGTGTTGCCTGTATGTACATATGTGCCCCACATGTGCACAAGGAACCCAGGAAGACCAGGAGAGGGCATCCCACAGAGGGCTTTCCTGGGACTGGAGTTACAGATGATTGTGAGCTACCATGTGGGTGCTGGGAATCGAACCTGGGTCCTCTTCAAGACTAGTGCTCTTAACCACCGAGCCATCTCTTCAGCTCCCTATAAATGAGATTTTTTTTATTTTAATAAAGAAACGTTGCTGGGCGTTGGTGGCGCACACCTTTAATCCCAGCCCTCAGGAGGCAGAGGCAGGTGAATATTTGGGGCTCTGAGGCCAGCAATGACCTATTGGGTGAGTTCTAGGACAGTCAGAGCTACACAGAGAAATCCTGTCCCAAAAAATCAAACAAACAAACAAACAAAAAATTAATGATCTAGGCATGGTGGTGCATACCCGTAATCCCAGCACTCAGGAGGTAGAGAAGATGAGGTACAGCCTGGGCTACACAGTGAGTCCAAGGCCAACCTGGGCTACAAAAGACTCCAGAAAACAAAAGCCCAGAAGGAACTCCACAGACACAACCGTTAGAGGAACTTAGAAAAGAAAACCCTCTGAGGGGAGGCTACCCAGGAAAGCAATAGCAGCTCGCAGGAGGGCACCGAGTCTTGTACTTGAGCCCATCGGCCCTACACAGTGAACTCCCTTCCTATTCCCATTCAGCGAGGCAAAAAGTTGCCGTTGAGGCAACTAAGGATGGAAGTGACGGACAGCAGCAGACTCCCTTCTGCCCTTCATGGGGTATCACTGAGGTCCATCCCTCCGAAGCCTAGCTAGTACATCTGGATAAGGAAGAAGCTTATTAACAACCTCCGCTCTGACTGCACAGCCTAGCTCAGAAATTATGCCTAGGGAAAGCAGGAAGCTATGATGAATCCTAATCTCTTCCTGGAGAAAATGACAACCTTGACAGAACAGAGTAACAGAGCAGAATTAAACCCTTGTTATCAAAGAAAGTCTTGCCATTAAAAACAATTAGGAGCACGATCAGTTCAGTGAAAACACGCGATACTGTGTACATTCTGTGCAATCCCTGTAGATCGCCTGATCCCCAGGAAGTGGTAGGATGAAGGCCCAGAGACAATATTTTCTCAGGGGGCATGCCTTGAGGCCTAGCCCCTCATTTCTGGGCGGCTGTCCCACTGTCCTGCTGGAGGACAGGCAGGCAGCAGGGGCAAAAGGCTTCTCCCCAGCGGGCAGCTGGCCCACTGAGCACACTGCTCTGCTGACTGAGACCTGGGGCCAGTGCCCTTGTCACACTGATCCTGGCAGGGAGACATCCTCCCCAGGGGTCTCTGCCCAGGAGCCAAGAACACTTAGGCCCCCAGGCTCTGTGCAGAGAGGTGAGAACAGAGGCTGCCGCTTCCTCACACCAACTTTGCGATGTCAGGCCTCAGTCCAGCTCTTTTGATCCATATCTAAGCCCTGGCCTGAATCTATTCTCTGCCTTCTAAATGTCTCATGCCTGAGAAACCTATGCCAGTTGTCAGGCATAGTGGTGCACACCTAGAATCCATAGAGGCAGGAGGAGCTCTGTGAGTTTGAGATAAGCCTGGACTATATAGCAAGTTCCAGACCAATTATGACTTCATAGGCAGACCCTGACTCAAACAAAACCAAAAGAAATGAAAACAAAACAGCAAAAAACTGTAGGTGAACTTTTCTTTCCTGCCTACCGGTTCCCAAATAACCTACATGGAGACTTAATATTAATTATAAATCGTCAGCTAATAGCTCAGGATTATTACTAACTAGCTCTTACAATTTAACCAATTCTTACTAATCTACATTCTTCCAGGTGGCATTACCTCTCTTTCGTCTTGAGCCTTCTGTTTCTTCTCCATATCTGGTTGGTGACTCTTCTCACTCTTCCCAGTGTCCTTAGACTGATTCTCGCCCCTAACCAATTCCTGTCCAGCTATTGGACAGTCAGCTTATTTTTTATTAAACCAATCACAGCGATATATATTCATACCATGTAAAGGAACACTCAAAAAAAGAAAAGAAATGTGCCAGGAAGTGGTGGCATATGCTTTTAATCCCAACACTAGGGAGGCAGGCAGAGCTCTGTAAGTTTGATCATTGTAGACCAGCCTGATCTACGAAGTGAGTTCCAGGACAGCCAGGGCTACACAGAGAAACCCTGTCTCAAAAACAAAAACAAAAACAAAAACAAGCAAACAAGTAAGCAGGGGAGAAGGAAGAAACCTGAATTAATGCTGTCACTGAGACAACAAATCTCTCCCATGGCTCTCAGGACATGTTGTCCATACATGTTGTTCATCCTCCCAAAAGTAACTTTAGAGGGCATCTTTATGGGTAGTCACAAGCAACAGGCCAGGTGCGGTCCTGTGTCCAGCCCCATCTGGATGCCTCAACCCCACCCTGTGATTTAACAATTGCTCTCTGCTATTGCTATTGGATGAAAGACAGGCATGAAACAATGGGAATGAGTTCTTGGGGGCACCACCTCAGAAACCCTGGGTGGACAGAAACCCCCTTGTCTGACCCAACCTCACCATGTCCTGTTTCAAGCATGTGGCCGTGCTTTCCAAATGGCAATCGGTCTACCTTTGGAGTGTAGGGTGGAGAGAACCAAGGCAAAAACACCCTGGCCCTGATGTGACTCCAGGACCAGGGCTTGAAATCCCACCAAATCCCCGAGCTTGCTCCAGGGTCAGACTGCAGAATCCCAGCAATCCCTGAGTTACCTGAGCACAAACTCCCATCAATCCCTAATCATGAAATCCCACCAGTGCTTGCACCAGAATCAAGCCACAAAAAACCACCAATCCCAAGCCATCCTGGAAAGTCCCACCTGTAAGAAACCCTATATAAGCTCTGAGCTCTCTTCAGCTTGCTGCTGCTTCTCATCCTTCAGACAGCCTCCCTCCTGGATTTTTCGTTCCCAGTAAATCTCCTGAGTGAGGTTTGTTGTGCATTGTGACATTTTCACAGAACTGTAACACAGACAGCAGGGTTGTAACAACTGTACCGGGAAGCCCTCCCCTGCTGGGGAAGAGTTGTTAGCTTGGGGAAACCTTTCCCTGGATCAGGGCTGTGTGCTTACAGTGACTTTGTAGTACTGTAAGTGTTACAATGGATGGCATGGGCAGGGATTCTGGCACTGGGGAGTCACAGACTACTGAGCTAGGATGATGGAAAGATATTCTGGCACCAGGGAGCCAAGGATTAGTAGGCATAGCAGCTTACAGCCCTGCTCCAGGGAAAGGCTTCCCCACTGTATTAGCTCTGCTCTGGCAGGGGAAGGTTTCTCCAAAGTTGTTACAGTTCGGCTCCATCCCCCAGAGAGTGGTGAGCAGGAGTATAACAACTCCACCCTGTCAAGGGAAGGTTTCCCCAGTGAAAAGTGTCTTCCCAGGGTTGTCTCTGTTCTGGTGAAGGAAGGTCTCACCCAAACATCATTCAAGAGATTTATTGGAAGGGAAAAATCCAGGAGAGTGGCTGCCTCTGCCAGGGTGGAAGAAGACAGCCAGAAAGCCACAAGCTGAACAGACACAGGGTTTATATAGGGCTTCTTAGGGGCGGGGCTTTTCCAGGGAGATTTACAGAGTGGTGATTGGTCAGATTTCAATCCCTGAGCTCAGATTGGCTACAACTCCTGCTCAGGGATTGGTTGGTTTTTCTGCCCAGGTTCAGGGTCAGATTTGGCTCCTGTTTCAGGGCCAAAGTGTGTTTCTTTCACTGGTCCTCTTTAGCCTTTTGGCTCTAATTTTAGGGCCGGGGTATATTTCTTTCACTGACTCTGATTCCAGGGACAAAGTGTGTTCCTTTGGCACTGGTTTCAGGGTTAAGGTGCATTTCTTTGGTTCTGGTTGCAGAGCCAAAATGTGTTTCTTTGGCCTGGCCCTTTCTCCCTGCACTGCATACATGATGCCCTCCATCTCAATGGGTAGTCACCAAATAAAGGTATGACAACCCAAGCCCCACAGTGGTCCCCCACCTCGGCAGGCTCCCTGCCTGAACCCTGCACCTCCAATCCCAAATCTGGGCTAAGGGGTTTCCTTCCATCCTTTGGTGAAAGCTCCTCTGTGCTCTTAGGCGAGTATGCAAGGTACCAGGGCCTAATCCGTCAAGCTTCAGGGTCCTAGTGAGAGCAGCCAGCCAGGTGGTTTCACCCTCTTCTCAAGTCCATAAAACTCGGATGAGTCCCGAATCGCACAGTGCTCAGCCCGCGCAGCTGGCGACCATCCCCGTCCTTCACTGCACATGCTGGCCCTGGACGGTGCGGACCAAACATCCCTAACCGTTCCAAATCTGGGCTAGGTGCGGCCCGGGGTGTGGCTCTTGCAGGAGAGCAGCGTCTGGGGTGACCGCCATCGAAGTCAGGGGGGTGGGGGCTCGGATTGGAGGTAGGTGGAGGCTCTGTCCTTCGGTAGCTGCACGTCGGCCTTTTTTGGGGGGAATTTGGGGGTAGGGGGTGGGTGGAGACTCAGGCTCAGTTTCTGGAGTTGTGGCGACCTCCGGCCCGGCGAGGACACAGGGGGAGCTGCAGGACCCGGAGGCGCCGCGGCAGCCCGCGGTGGGCTGGGCGGGGCAGAGCAGGGCTACCGCCTCCGCGCGTCCCTCCAGGTCCCGCCACTCCGCCCGCCCGCCGGGGGAGCTCAGGGCGCAGGGGTGGCGGACGGGGCGCACCCCGGCCGGATTCGCATGGACCTCCCGCGGCGCTGGCTCTTCCGGATGCTCCTGCTCGTCGCCGCCTGCTTTGGGGTCCTCTTCACTCTGTACTCGGTGGGGCGGCGGTTTCAGGAGCCCGGTGCCCGGGCCAGGTAAGCGCTTGCGGGGCACTGAGCCCGGGGCGCGCGCGGGCAGAGAGCGCGCTCCCAGCGCCGCCGACGCCCGCGGACACCCCGGGCAGGCTCGCAGCGGCGACACGCCTTTGGCTGCCTTAATCTCGTGCTGCCACCTGGGCCCCGCCGCCTCTGCCCGCCCCGAACACACTGGAGACCCTGACGTCTTGGGTTAATTTCGTCCAGGCTTAATTAAAAGCTCCTCCCTGTTGCCACTTTCTTCCTGGATCCACTTTTAGGGTAGAGACCCTGTTTTCCAACTCGACCCTGCTCTTCGGGTAGGAGGTAGCCAGGCTCCTGCTCCGCTCACTTTGGGCTCTGGGCAGAGAGGCCCGCCTGCATCTGGCTCCCTTTTATCTGGGCCTATTTGTTGTTCAAGTGTTAACTTTGATAAGCGGCGTCTGGACACGGCCCTGCGTGCTGGCGAGCTGCACCTGAACAACGCAGAGGCCTATTCTGGACCCATCCGAGCCTTCCACCCGGTTCCTCTTGCTTTCCAGAAACCTGAGAGTGCCTTTCTTTGGTCGCCTACAAGTTTCGGATGACTGAAGGAACCTCGGGAGGCTTTAACTTTATTTCTGGGAGGCACAGCAAGACATACCTAGAGTGTGGGCTTAGAGGCAGGAAGCGCCCACACAGCGTCACAGAGACCTCAGGCACCAGTCTGTCTCCTCCTAGCCCGTTTGCTTCCGCACACAATGAGTGGTGTTTGGTTAAAGGACACAGCTCAGTTGCAACTACCACGAAAATTGCTTGCAAACAGTTGAACCTAGTTACCTTAGCTGGCAACACCCTGCAAGGGGCCAGACTTCACACGTGACTTCACACGGAGGGTTAGTTACATATGGGTTACACCCCAACGAAGCTTTTCATTTCTAAAAAGTATTTATTCTTTTATTTTTGCATCATTTTCCCCCTTTTCTCCCTCGAAAGTCTCCCATATACCCTTGACCTTGCCTTTTTTTTGCAAATGCCTGGCCTCTTTGTTCATCAATTGCTGCTACGTGCATATATATGTATATATATATCATATGTTTATAATACATGTATGTTTATGTATTATATGCATATAACATATGTGTATTTATATATATATATATGTGTGTCCTGCACAGCCTGTATACTGTTCCTTGTATGTGTGTTTTCAGGGCTGATCATTTGCCACTGGATGACCAGTTGGTGTGAAGGTTGTTTCTCCAGCTCTCAGCATTCCCTAGTTGACTATAGTTCTTCATGTAGGTTGTGAGGCCTCCAGTGAGGTCTCTCCCCTGTGCACTCTGGCAAAACATTTTTCCATTTCAAGAGATCTTTCTTCCTCTCAAAAATCTGATATAGGGGCTGGGGACATAGTTCAGTTGGTAGAGTACTCACCTCTCGTGCATGAAGTCTTGGATTTCAGTCCCCAAGACTAAAAAATAAGACAACAACAACATCAACAAACCTGGCAAAATCTGGTATGAATAAAAAACCTGTCCTTTTCCTTGCCTGTGTTAGCGTTTGCTGTAGTAAAACCTGGTTGCGGGGAAGGAAGGGGCAGGTCAGGACTCAGCCTGGCTGTAGGAAGTGGGTAGGTAGTTCCCGGAGACAGATGACTCCCAGAGTATGGCTGGAAGCTGAGCGTCCTTCCTGTGAATAGGGCCAAGAGACAGTCCAGACGGAAGAATGGCTGGGCCTAGGGAGGGCTCTATTACTCCTTAGTGGGGGATCTCATCACCCACTCACCGAAAACTCTGCTTCCAGAGGGTTTCCAAGACATGGTTTCTCTATCTCCGTAACAGCCCTGGCTGTCCTGGAACTCACTGTGTAGACCAGACTAGCCTCGAACTCAGAGATCCACCTGCTTCTGCCTCCTGAGTGCTGGGATTAAATGCGAGTGTCACCACTGCCTGGCATCTGGGACCTTTTTATTTTATTTTTTAAGGTTAATCTTTATAGTCAATACTTTAAAATTAAATTTGTTCTTTGAAAAATCTGTATGTCACTCGGGCAGTGGTAGCATAGGCTTTAATCCCAGCATTCAGGAAGCAGAGGCAGACAGACCTCTTGAGTTCCAGGCCAGCCTGGTCTACAGAGCGAGGTCCAGAACAGCCAGACCTACATAGTAGCCCTGTCTTGGGGTGGGGGGAGATCCCATTCGTGTATATAATGTATTCTAATGACTCTCACCCTCTACCCCCTCTTGTCTCCTATACACACACACACAGGCACACACACACACACACACACACACACACACACTCCCACCAGCATTCCTTTCTTCCCCACAAGCAAGTCCTTTTGCTCTTTTGCTTTGTTTTATGAACCCCTGAGTTTAACCAGCGGGTGCACAACTGAAGACAATAACCCCCAGTCTCCAGAACCCATCCATATTCAATAACCCTTGCCCAAGGGAGAGGAGGACCCGAGAGCCCCTCCCTTGCCCACAGGGGACTGCTGGCTGCCCAGCCTCGTGCAGGACCAGGGCAGGCAGCTAACTGCAGCCCTCTGAGGTCTTGATTGCAGTGGCCATGCGGTGCCCAGATGGCAGCACTCACAGCATGCCACCCCACCCCCATCCCTGGGCTTTTACATCCTGTCTGCCCTGCATTCTGCAACGTTCCCTGTAATCTCCACATGTGCTCCAGAGTGTGTGTGCACCTTCACACAGATGAATGCACACACATCACACACAGCACACATAGAACATAACACACAGCACACATATCACACAGAATGCACACGTTACACACTGCACACATACACACAGCACACATAATGACACGTTACACACTGCACACATTACACACACACATCACACCCAGCACACATAGAACATAACACACAGCACACATATCACGCATATCACAGAATGCACACGTTACACACTGCACACATACACACACAGCACACAGAATGCACACGTTACACACTGCACACATACACACACACACAGCACACATATATACATTATCACACATTTTTAAAATTGACTATTTGCCTCTTTGTCTTGAGACAGTGTCTCATAAAACTCAAACTGGCCCTAAACTTGCTTAAGTAGCTGAGGAGGGCTTTGAACTCCTGATCCTCCATCTCTGCCTCTAGAGTGCTGGAATTATGGCAGGTGCCACCACACCTGACAATACATTTAGTCTTATAAAAATGCACATTTTTGTGCTTATTTCTCAGGCTGCAGAGTTTTCATAGGTTTGGGTGCCTACCTCCGTTGAAGGAGAAGCCCTAGGTAGCTGGAAGGATTTGGATTCCTGAGAGAGGGCCTGTGAAGTCACCAAGCTGAGGGCAGCTGGGGAGCACCCTTAGGATTGGGTGAGGGTGGGCTTAAGGAGAGTCCCACTACCCTCACCCCATCTGTCACTTTTGTCCTGCTGTCCTAGGTCTGTGATCTGGTAGTTCCTCCCTGGGTTCACAGGCCTGCTGCCCGAGAGATTTACCAGAGAGGGGGGTGGGGGTGGGGAGGTGAGCTTGGAATCAGCCAGAATTTCAGGACTGGTAGGGTGTGGACGTTTGCCAAGCTCCTTCCACATGGCCTAGGCTGAGCACCACCAGGTCCCCACTCCTTAGCCACAGGATTATAGGGGTGGACATCTGGCTGGTGGAGGAGGGAAGGGGGAAGGGGAGGGATCTTCCCCGGATCAGTCCCTTCAGGATCTTACTTGAAACCTGGGAAACCAAAGGGTGGCACAGATTCCAAGCCCTGCACTGACTCAGCGTGCTCGGTGCCTACAGGAGACCAGGCCCCATGTCCTCACACTCCCTGCTTCCCCGATGCTGCTGGGGTATGGGTAACGAAGGAGGGGAGCTCCTGGCCACCAGGCACGTCCTCCGTTCTTTAATCCTCTGCCCAGGGCCTCGCAGTGCCCGGGCAATGTGAGCACCCTCTTGCCTCCCTTTAGAAGACACTGGTAAAGAGGTACAGGATCCCTCACCTTCCTCTCAGAGGGACGGTGGCTGGCATTTAGAGGACCTTTCCGTGTGGGGTAATTTAGCTGTTCTCTTGGGCCCCTTCCGTGTGCTGAGGCAGAGACTGAGGTCTCCGGAAGAGTCGATGGCGAGCTGACCAGACCGGGCTGCAGGCAAACCCTCAGAGTCAGGGCTTCGAGCCACATGCACCCTTCAACAGGAAGGAGCTGCGGAACTGTAGGCACATTCGACTGGAGGAGAGGCGTCCCCCCCCCACTCCCAACACCCTAACATCCCCTCAGACTTTTGTTTCTCCTTCAACAGGAAGGAGCTTCGGAACTGTAGGCATATTCGATTGGAGGAGAGCCCCCCCCATCTCACTCCCAACACCCTAACATCCCCTCAGACTTTTGTTTCTCCTTCAACAGGAAGGAGCTTCGGAACTGTAGGCATATTCGATTGGAGGAGAGCCCCCCCATCTCACTCCCAACACCCTAACATCCCCTCAGACTTTTGTTGTTGCTGTTTGCTTCTGTGTCTTGAGACTTCATCACCAGCCTGAGGCTGGCTCGAAATCTGTGCAGTAGAGGGTGGCCTTGAACTCTGATCCTTCTGCCTCAGTCTCCTAAATCCTGGGCTTAAGGGCATGCATCGCAACATTCACTCCTGGGCTTTGGCAGGAGACTCCTCCGATAGTCACAATGCCAGGCACTGGCCGTCCTTCCTGTTTTATATCTTCGTACTTCAACCATCTCTACTCCTGTAAACTCCGGTTTTTCTGCCCCCCTCTCCCCGCCCCCGCTGAGAGACTCGCTTAGTTTCTTCCTCTGTGTAGCTGGGCAGGACACAGTTGAGTGATGGTAGTTTGTGTATCTAAAGGTGGAGTCGTGGGTTCAGAATCGGTGTGGAGGAGAGATCAAAGGGATGCATCCTGGGGACCCTGGCACTGTGTCAGCCTCTGAGCTGAAGCGTAAGGTGCTTGTTGGACCCCCACTTCACTTCTGCCTTTCCCCCCCTCCCCCAGGAACATCATATCACCTCGAGCATTCCTTGAACTCAAGGCACCGAACCCTGAACACACAAAGGTACAGTGGCTCACCACTCTGGGGCAGTTTGAGGGTCTTCTAGCTCAGAGGGGAGGAGGAGGAGGAGGAGAAAAACCAAGAACTTTCTTGAGGTTTCTGGGTCTAATATGTTCGGACCTCCACTAGCACAGAGATAAACATCCATCCTCCCCAGGCATCTTCGACCTGGGATACAGTGTTTCCTGTATCCCAGCAGAAAATGGTGGATAGATAAGGACCTCTTATGGTGTAGCCAGCTGGAAGGTTCGTGGAAGTCTGAAAATCAGGTCTTGTAACTATATGTCTGAATGTGTGTGTGTGTGTGTGTGTGTGTGTGTGTGTGAGTGAGTACAGGTGCCACAGAGGATACAGGCAGCCGAACCCCCAGAGTTGGAGTTACAGCCAGTTGTGGGTGCCGGGAACCGAACCCAGGTCCTCTGCAAGAGCAGTGTGTACTCTTCCTCACTGAGTCATCTCTCCAGCCCCCTCAAATTGCCTCTTTTATAAAATCAATGTTACTTATTTGTAGCAGGTGTTTGCTTATGTGTATGTATGCGCACCGCGTGTGCACCCAGAAAGCATAGGACCCCCTGGAACTGGGGTTATGGGCAGTGTGAGCCGCCCAGTGTGGTCCTCTGCTGGAGTGATGCACCCTCTTAACCACCCAGCTATCTCTCCAGCCCCTTGAAACTGAATCTTTGTGTTGAATGGATCCTGTACTCTGTTCCTCCAAATACTTACTTAGGATAAGTCGCGGTTCACTTGCTCACCCAGGAATAAGAGCCAAGCTCTGGGAAATGCCCCATGTTTGCCTCAGGGGTCTTAGGTCTTCAGGACTCTAGTCCGTAACCCTACGTAGTAGCTGGGTACCTGCTGGGCCGTGAGGTGCTTCGTTCTCAAGTTCCGGATACACAGTAAATAGAGGTATTCCAGTAGGGCAGACTGAGGCATGGAGTAGTGAGGTGCCGAGGGTCTGACGCCAGAACTGGCTGTACGTTGGGTGGTGTACAGGACTTCCCTGCCACCCCAGCAGCTCATACTGGGTGAACTGGGAGATGTTTGTTTCTTTTATGGGTTATTACAGACTTAAGCATTGTTTTCAGTACCCAAGAAACTGGACTTGGACATGTTAACTGAGGTTTCAGGGACTCAGGGACTCAGGGTCCATGTGTTCAAGAGTTTAGTGATAACCCAGGCATTCAGAGACTGCACAGTGGTCTGGTCTGTCAGGTGATGAGGGAACCTGTGTGTGGAACACTTGTGGTCACGTGGTTAGCAACTGAAGAGGCTATAAGCGTCATCTTGAGTGCTTGAGCCTGGTCAATTTTACGTTTCCAGTGGGTGCTAATTGGCACACAGCCCCAGCTCGTTTAAAACAGGCATGCTGTGACCTTTGAACATAATGTGGCAAGGTAACCCATGATGGGGACAATCCCATCCTAGGGTGCATAGAGTCTTTTGTTGGAGGAGCTGTTGATGGAAGTGTGGTCCCGAGAAGTGGCAAGGCCAGTTGGAGTCCCACACTTTGGACCAGAAAGAGGGATTTATTTGTGACTTCGAAGGAAAGGGACCTCATCTGAGCTGGCATGTGACAAGTACACACTGGATAAAGCAGAAAGTGCACACACATGGCCGGGCATTCGTGGCGCACGCCTTTAATCCCAGCACTCAGGAGGCAGAGGCAGGCGGATCTTTGTGAGTTCAAGGTCAGCCTGGTCTACAGAGCGAGTTCCAGGACAGCTTCCAAGACAATACAGAGAAACCCTGTGTCGAAAAACCGAAAAAAAAAAAAAAAAAGAAAGTGCACACACCTGAGCTGAACCATGTAGGACTAGGACTACACAGAAACACCCACCGACTTTACTACCTGTGTCATGGTCTCACCCAAACACACCTGCTACTACAACTCCCCCTTCTGACTCCAAACAACCCCTTTTCTGCCATTTCACTGAACCTCACTAACTGCTTACCCTTCAGACCCCAGCACCCACAAGCAAACCTCCAGTCTTTCCAAGGGAAGGTTTAGGCAGCAGTCATGTATTGCTTGGCTATGGGACCCAACATGAGTCTGGCTCTCTTGCAGCTGTGCGTGCATGCACGTGAGTGTGTCTGTGTGTGTGCGCGTGCGTGCGTGCACGTGCATGCTTTAAGGCACTACTGGCAGCATTCTGAGTGTTACATCACTCAGCCCATCTCCCCATATGCCCTGTGGTTTGAATTGCAGCAGTTTTGCATAGTGTGGGATGCTCATATGTTGCATGATAGCAGAAACCACTGTCTGGCCACTTCCTGCTCTGTCCTTTGATCAACGGCTTAACAAAGACGCTCATTCAGAAGTAACAGAGCCCCGCCCCACCCCCACCCCAAGGCTGGGTGAGACTCAATACTGTGGGAAAGCAGCAGACTAGAATGGGGTTGGCTAGGAACCTCACCCTCCTGAAGGGCCCAGGCTGCAGGGGTGATGTCTTGTTCCCTGAGGCTCCCAGAACTCAGGGCACAGGGTATGTGGCTTAAAACAACAACGGAGGTGGGATGGGGGTGGAGAGACTGTTCAGTGGTGTGTTCTGCTTTTGCAGGGGTTCCAAGTTTGGTCTCCAGCACTCATACCAGGCAGCTCACTCACAACCTCCTAGAACCCCAACTCTGGGGCGATTTGATGCCTCTGGTCTCTGACAAAGCTGTTTTCACAAGCATAAGCACACATATGCATCATTTTTTTTAAAAAAAAGGGCAAATCAACTCTCTGCTGGTTCTGAATGCCCGAGGACCAGTATCACATGGGGGGGGGCATTCTTCCCTGAGACTCTAAAAATCCTCCCTTGCCTTCTGTCTTCTGGTGTCTCAAGGGTGCCGTCCGCTTGGCCCAGGGTGACTCACTCCTTCGATGCGTCATCCCCCACGGCCTCTGTTTTTCACAAGGCCTCATCATCACGGTGCCGGTTGTTGGGTTTAGGTCTAGCCTAAGCTCATAAGACCCTGTCCTGATGACATTCACACATACCTTATCTCCAAGCAATGAGTTGGCTTTTCTGTTGTGACAAACACATCAGAAAAAGCTTCAGAGGAAGAGCAGTTAGGTTGGCTCCCTGCTCCAGAGCATCTGGGAGGCAGCAGATGGAAAAAATGGAGTCGTTTACATCACGGCAGCCAGTAAGCGGGGTGAGAGAGCACAAGGGGGCCCCGGAACAAGATGTAGCCCACAAAACGTGGCAGTGACCAGCGTCCTCCAGTGAGGCCTCACTGTAGAAGTTTCCACCACCTCCCGAGACGGCATCAACATATTCTTATCCTCATCATCGTCATCATTATTGTAGTGTTTTGAAACAGGGTCTCTCATGTATTCCTGGCTGTCCTGGAACTTGATATTTATACCAGACTGGCTACGAACTCACACAGATCCACCTGCCTCTGCATTGGGAATTCTGGGATTAAAGATGAGCAGCGGCCACACCAGGCTGTCAACAAATCATTACCCCGCCTGTGGGTTAATTGATTAAAGGCAGGAGAACTCTTGCAAATGCCTCGCGGTGGCTGGCTTCACCAGCTGAGGGCAAAAGCCACCTGAATGGCTGGGGGTTGGAGGTAAGCAGCCAAGGGGAGGGAGGGGGACACAGTTCTTCCCAGCACCGTCATTTCACGGGACAGACGTGCCTCCTGGAGGTGGGACTGCGGTCAGGTGGGTAGAGCATAAATCCATGTCGTCCTCACTGGTTGTGAAGTACCCAGAGTTTGCCCAGGTGTGAGCTGAAGGACTACAAAGCCAGACCCCCTGGAACGTGGGCGTGTGACATCTGGACTCGGAAGGGCTGGGCAGGCTAAACCCAGAAAGTTTCCTGACCCCACCAGGCTTCTGGATCGCAGGCTGTTTCAGCCAGCAGATCCAGGGATGGCCCCTTCTGGAGGGATAGAAGCAGCTAACCCCTCCTTTTGAATTCTCCTGTGAGGTCTCCCAGGAGACACACCCTGGCCCCTACCTGACAGGCTTGACCCTCTCCTCAGTCACAGAGCCAGCTCTGCCGACATCCGCTTTCCCTGGCCATTCAGAAGGACCACCACTTCCGGGGTCTGTTCAATCTCTCCACCCCAGTGCTGCTGTGGGGCGGCCTCTTCACTCAAGACCTCTGGAACAATCTGAGCCAGCAAAATGTCCCCTATGGGTGGCATGGGCTCTCCCAAAAAGGTAACCTGCTACCTACCTGCTGCTTCTCCCCACCTCCTGCCTCAGCCGGCCCCTTCTCCCTGCTGTGCTCCAGCCTTGGCTGCCTTCTCAGAATCTGTGGAGAGCTTCGTGGGCTCCTCTCTGTGTGAATCCTGCTTCTCTCTTTCTCCAGTCCCCCAGGACCAGACTGAGATTCCCTTGCTCGGTGGCTCTCACTATCTTGGGGTCTCCTTGACATGGAAAATGTCCAGTGTTTAATGGTGGCCGGGTATCAGAGGTTTAGGGGCCTTCACGGAACTCTCACGGCTGCACATTGCCTAAACCACCACACACAACCCCACCCCGTGCCTTGGATTCTTTACCTTTGGCGCGTACACAGTCTTAAGAGAACTAGTTACTCTAGATCGGCCCACCAACACTGACTCCCATTCTGCCCCCACCCTCTCTACTTCCCGGGTCTCTATAACATAGGTCCCAAGCCAAACAGTCTGGGGAAAGCCTGGCAACAGCCCACTCCACGTGGTTCCCCCCTGTCCTCACCCACAGTTATCATCTCTACCCTGAGCCTTCTCAACAACTCCGAGAGCGCAGAGCTGTTTGGTGCTTCCAAACCCCTAAGCTGTATTCGGTGTGCTGTGGTGGGTAACGGAGGCATTCTGAACGGATCCCGTCAGGGTCAGAAAATCGATGCCCATGACTACGTGTTCAGGTAATGAGGGCAGGGGCCAGGCAGCTGGGTGAACAGCTCTCGTTTTGCTAGTCATGAGGGAACATCTGCCCCGAGGCCAGGGCAGAGGCAGTTGCCAGCCTAAGGTGGTTAGGATAGGCAGATGTCTGATCTAGACCAATAGTTCTCAACCTGTGGGTCCTGACCCCTTTGGGGCGGGAGTCGAATGACCCATTCACAGGGGTCACCTAAGATCATTGGAAAAAGCATCTATATGCATCACTAGTCATAACAGTAGCAAAATTACAGTTATGAAATAGCAACAAAGATAATTTTTATAGCTGGGGGTAGTCACTACAACATGAGGAACTGCATTAAAGGGTTACAGCATTAGGAAGGTTGAGAACCATTGGTCTAGATCAAGAATCAGCCAACCCTGAAAACAGAGCACAATTGCCCAACGTAAAGGGACCTGGGAGGAAGGGTCCCCAGGACCAGGGTTACTCAGTCTGGGAACCCGAGCAGTGAGGATAGGCTAGACCCCAGACAGGTATTCTAATGAGGATAGGCTAGACCCCAGACAGGTATTCTCATGAGGATAGGCTAGACCCCAGACAGGTATTCTCATGAGGATAGGCTAGACCCCAGACAGGTATTCTCATGGGACGAGAGGGAAGGGGAGAGATGAGGCCGTGCCATGGAGACGGAAGTAAACCAGACAGCATGGTGGGCTTCTCCGGGGCCAGGCTCAATGGAGCAGTGATCAAAGGTTATGAGCTGGACGTGGGCACCAAGACCTCCTTCTACGGCTTCACCGTGAACACCATGAAGAATTCCCTCATCGCCTACTCCAACCTGGGCTTCACCTCTGTGCCGCAAGGGAAGGTGAGGCCAGCAAGGGGTGGACCACGGTGGCTGACGGCGGGTATTGTCTTCTTAGGAACTCTTGGGTGGGGTGGGCCTTGGGATTCGTGGACAGGTAGTGTTAAGATTTTGGCCACCTGCTTGGGTGTGGTGGCGCACGCCTTTAACCCTGGCACACCCTAGGCAGAGGCAGGCAGATCTCTGTGAGTTCCAGGATAGCCAGGGCTACGTAGGGAGACCCTGTCTGTCTCAAACAAAGAAAAGGATCTCGGTCACGCGAGGCAGAGATTAGAGATAAAGGCAGATCTGCTGGAGATTCCCCCGGATCACCCCAGTGGCTCGGGGCTGCCTCTCGAGCATGGAAGGGGGAGGATCAATACAGATGGATGACTTGGGACCCCCCACTTCACTGGGGGAAGACTGAAGACCGGAGCCCTCCCATGCGGCCAGTCAGCAGAAGTCCCAAGTTTCAAACCTAGACTGCTCACCCAGAGTTCCCTTATCTATGCACAGTGCAAGGACATTTATTGGGTCCCCTCTCTGTTCCCAGGTATGGACATGAGTGTCACGGGTGCTCCATATAGGATCATCATACCCGTCTTCAGATGGCAGAGTTAAGGGTCCCTGAGAGGTTGCCAGGCATGGAGCTGGTGCACACATGGCAGTCCCAGTACCTGGGAGGCAAGGGCAGGCAGATCTATGTGACATTTGAGGCCAGCCTGGTCTACAGGGCAAGCTCCAGGTCGGCCAGGTGTATACAGTGAGCCTTTGTCTCTAGCAGGGGGAAATGCCGGGAGGTTTGGGAATGTGTCCAAGAGCATTCGGCTAGGATTGTCGAGCCCCCTGGAGATACTTCCATTTCCCTACACTGCTGACCAAAGAATGATGTGTGACCTCTCGGGCTCTCATCAGAGCTCTGTGCAGGAAACGGAGGCTCAGAGAGGCCCAGGCCCCATCACAGCTCCCGCCAAAGCCAGCCTTGGAGCCCTCTCCCCTGGGTCCTCCCTCCATGCCTGTTTGCCCTAATGCCGTGCTTTCTCTCTGGGTGTCCCTCAGATTGAGCAATCCAGAGAGAGCAAGGAAGCCAAGCACCTTTTTTTGTTTTTTTGGTTTTTTTTTTTGGTTTTTGGAGACAGGGTTTCTCTGTGGCTTTGGAGGCTGTCCTGGAACTAGCTCTTGTAGACCAGGCTGGCCTCGAACTCACAGAGATCCACCTGCCTCTGCCTCCCGATGCTGGGATTAAAGGCGTGCGCCACCAACGCCCAGCAGCCAAGCACCTTTTATGACCATCTTTGAGATGCTGTGTTTTGCCCGCACGTATGTCTGTGCACCGTGTACATACTTGGTGCATGCAGAGGCCAGAAGAGGGCGTCGGATCCCCCCTGGAACTGGAGTTGTGGGTGGTTATGAACCACCTGATGTGGGTACTGGGATCCGAACCCGGGTCCTCTGGTAGAAGAGGAAGTGCTCTTAACCACTGAACCGTCTCTCCAGCCCTCTGTTTTCTAGCTTTAGACTCTGGAGGGAGGATCAGGAGGGTCAGGACTTCCTTGGCTGCATAGGGACTTTGAGACTCTGTCTCCTAAAAAAAACGAAAACACAGAGAAGATCCTATGCATTAGTCACAAAGTGTAGCCGGTCCTCCAGGGACCGGCGACCACGCTTCACCTCTCACGGGAGGGACATCAAAGGTCCTGGGAGCCTACAATGAAACCACCCGAGTCCCTGGGCGCGGGAATACAGTCTAGCAAGCCTTGGGAGGCATGGCGAGGCGGAGAACTGTTTTTCTGTGGAGCTGAGCTTGGCCTTGTCCGATACCCTGACAGGACCTGCGCTACATCTTCATCCCCTCCAGTATCCGTGAATACCTGATGCTGAGAGCCGCCATCCTGGGCGTGCCTGTCCCAGAGGGCCCGGACAAAGGGGACAGGTGAGCAGCTGACTGGTGTGTGAGCCTGTGACATGGCGGGTGGGGAACACCGTGAGCACCCCCCCCTTGTCCCCGAGGTCCCATGGTTGGATAGAGAAACTGTCTGATGGCTCTTTAACCCTAGCTATGGTGCGAGAAGCTGTGCAGAGAAAAGTCTCCCTCCAGCCTTCAGGAGTCCCTAATTATTCAGCATAATTTAGCATGGAAATTGTGCTCTGGCTGACAGTAGGTGCCATCTCCTGAGGACCCTTGGGTGGGGCAGGCCACGGGGTGGAGTGTAACGCGTCCAGTGGGTGGAGAGGTAGCAATGCGTGGCCGCCTGAAGTGCTGGCATTAAACCTGAAGGCAGATTTGGCAGAGCTCACATTCTTTCAGGTATTGAGGGCCCAGGTGGCCCTGCCAGCTTCCCTGCTGAATAAGAGGTGGAGCAAGCTTGGCCCCTCGTTTCTGGGCTGCCGTCCCACTGTCCTGCTGGAGGACAGACGGGCAGCAGGGGCAAGAGGTCCACTGAGCACCCTGCTCTGCTAAGTGAGACCTGGGGCCAGTGCCCTTGTCACACTGATCCTGGCAGGGAGACATCCTCCCCAGGGGTCTCTGCCCAGGAGCCAAGAACACTTAGGGCCCCAGGCTCAGTGCAGAGAGGTGAGAACAGAGGCTGCCGCTTCCTCACACCAACTTTGCGATGTCAGGCCTCAGTCCAGCTCTTTTGATCCATATCTAAGCCCTGGCCTGAACCCCCAGCTCCGCTCTCTGCCTTCTAAATGTCCCGTGCCTGAGAAACCTATGCCGCTACCGTGACCAGATAGATCACCAAACCCTTCTCATGACTCCTGGGACATGTGACCCACTCTCCCCCAAAGAGCAGATTTCTTTACGGGTTTACTGAGGCTACAAACCAGGCCAGCCCCTGCGGGGTGCCCCGCCCCCACCCCACGATGACCCAACAATGGGCCCCTGGCGTAGCCGTAGGTCATGAGAACCCCGAGGGTGGGTTCTGTGACGCGCTGGGGAATGGGCTCTTGGGGAAACCGCCTGAGACCCCGGGTGGACTTAAGCCTCCCTAACACCAATGAGCTCCCCCTCCCACACCCCTAATCCGTCCCCAACCCAGTCCCCGTCCCAGTCCCGCTCTAACCACGCTGACAATTCAATCAACCAGCAGCCCATCCCCAGCTCTGGAGGCTCCGCCCCTTCCCCTTCCCCCACCCGGGGGACTAGTTCCCGCCCAACCTCTCACAACCCCACCCCAGCCCCGTCTCAGCCTTCCTCCCGGGCTTCCTCCCAGTCCCCGAGTCCTCACGTCCAACATGTGTCCCGAGGGTCTACTCAAGCCCCTACCCCTCCGGCTTCCAAATCGCCCTCCCAGACCGGGTTAAAATCCCTCTCTCGGAACCCTTCCCTGACGCCCGCCGTGCCGGTGGCCAGGTCCCCTTCCCACAGCCCAGCCACCTCGGCCTCCTACATCGGGCCCATCCGCACCATCCCTTCCTACATCGCCCCCTACGTGCCTCGTTACATGAAGGAGGGCCCGTTCTTCCAGCCGCCCACAGCCCCTCTCCCCTACAACCGCTGCTTCCCCGGACCCTTTCCGTGCCAGGCCCAGGAGTCCAGGCGGCCGGCGCCCCCGGCCCCCCCCGACTCCCTCTACTTCCCCCTCCTCCCCCCGGCCCCCCACACCCCCCAGGGGTCCTGCTCCTACCCCACGCCGCCAGCCCTGTTCACGCCGCCGTCCTCCCTCTCCTACTCCCCGCCCACCGAGGTCCTGCTGAAGGGGAAGCCGCACGTCGTGCCTTCGGTGCTCCCAGCCACCTTCTACACCCCCTTCTCCCGCTTCTACGCCCAGCCGCGTCCCTACCGCTACCACCGGCGGTTAACGCTCCCCTCCCTCTCCCTCCAATATGACGGTTCTGGACGCTCTGTCCACTTCTATCGTGGGACCTAGGCCTCACACCTATTTTGGAGCAGAAACCTCCGCCAGGAAATTCAAGCTCCTGCACCCAGACTTCATCCGCTACCTGACAGAGAGGTATTGGGGGTCGGGGGTGGGGGATGGGGATGGGGCGGGCGTGGGGAGGGCCAGCTCTGCCTTTACACCTGTCCCACGTATTTCCAGTGCCTTCAGCTGGCGCTGGGCAGCAGCCCTGTCCTGAGAGCCTTGTGCCCATCCCTACGCTAAAGGCCGTCTGTCATTCATGTACTGTCTTACTCGCTACCCTGATGGGAGGTGGTTATACAGCTGACGGGGGTCAGCGGGAAAGAAGCCAGAAACGGGAAGCTGGGTTCCAGGAACTTTCACAAAGCCAGAAGGTGTACGGTGGTATTGGGGTCGCGGAAGTCTAGTATCGCCGCTCCGAAGCCCAGCCCACCAAAAGCAAACCAAGGGGAGCAGACAGCCTGAGCCCACTTCTTCCCCTCCCCAAGTGCCTCCAAGCCCCCATTCCTCGCTGGCGGCTCTCAGTATTGGGGGAAGTTAGGCGGGATGTTTGGTTCAGTCAGGACACGGTTTGGGTTGTCGTCGGGGGGGGGGCGTGACATTAAGCGGTGCCCAACTCTAGCCATCCTACAGTTGAGAAACCCACGGTACAACACAAAGGCCAGCATCCCAACAAAGTGGTTGAAGCAGTAGGCGGAGGGAGGCCAGCGGAAGCTCTGTGAGCTTGAGTGACCTGCCCGGTCAAGCTTTAGCCATAAATCCACATCTAAGGTCAGCACCTGGACATGTCTGCATGCCAGCGAGCCCAGAGCTAGGATCTGAGTGAGCGCCCTGCTCATCGGTGATTCCCGCTGGTCCAGTTGTGTGAGGGAGAGGAGCCTGGGCCTCGGGTTGAATGAAGAGGCCATCTACATGTGAATATAGTAGGGTGGGAGACGATAGTTGTGAATGCGGGAAGGGGGAGGCTCTCACCCCTATAAGGTGTTGACTTCATCCTAAAATCCCCACGCTTAGATCACTGGGATGTCCCCTAAGTGGAAATTGGTTGGAGTAGAAGGGCCAGCTTATGAACTTCTCCAGCCTTTTCGAGCGAGCGGGTAGCCTAGAGTCTAATGTTGCAATTACCTCACTGGCATTCAACACCTGAAACGTCTTTCTCGGGTCTCCTTGTAAATCTCTGTGGGGAGGGCTGGGCAGGGAGAGAAACTTAGGCAAGCAGGAGCGCATGAAGGCTAGGGTGTAGCCTCAGCATCTCCGGTCTCTACTTGGTGTCGTTTCTTGACACTGGCCAGGCTAGCTGATGGTTGAGTTTCTGGAATTCTGCCGTCCCTGCCTCCCATCTCACCACAGGACAGCTGGGATTACAGATGTGCGCTACTGTGCCCAGCCAGCTTTACACGGGTGCTGGGGGACCCAGGTTGGGTTCAAGCTTGTGTGGCAAGGGCTTTGCTCACTCGGCTCCAACTAGCCCCTTCTCAGGGTTACCGCTTCTGATGTCTTTCCAGGTTTTTGAAATCCAAGTTGATTAACACACGTTTCAGAGACATGTATATGCCTACTACAGGAGCGCTCATGCTGCTGACAGCCTTGCACACCTGTGACCAGGTAGGTGGGAGCTGTTGCAGCAGAGCAGCAGAACTCACTGTGGCCCGCTAGTCCTTCCCAATGCCAGCCACCCAGAAGTGGGACTGGCAACAGACGGGACTCCCCGGGACAGGAGTGCCTGTCTGTCTGCTTACTCCTGTCATACAAGAGGGTCAGGTCTAGGTTAGCCATGCTTCACCGACACCCTCCCAGCCTGCTTCCCTCTTCTAGGTGATATTTAAGGTGCAATGGGCCAGACAGCTCTGCTGAAAGCAAAAGCCTTTAACGGGGACATCCTTGAGCTGACAGGGACAGCAGGTTCATCCTGCCACATGCAGAAAAACCCGAGAAACTTTGTGGTAATAGGTTCCTAATAGGAGGCGGAGAGAGAGGTTGAGTGACAGTTCTCAAAGGCAGGCTGTGAAGCAAGCATGAGGTTCTAGATTCAATCCTTGATACCTTAAAAATAATAATAATAATAAAAAGGCTGTAATCCTGTAAGGGCACGTGTGGTGGAAGTCAGCACCCCGGCCCTGTCCTTTCTACCTATTCTAACCCAGGCGTCTTTCTGTAGTCAGTGTTCATCTCCTCCATCCTCAACTTCAAGATCATGAAGTCTGAGTCATTCTTAAGTTCCAAAGCCAGCTCTGCCGCTCACTGTCTGAATGGGGACACTTGGGATTACCAGTTAGGCACTTAGTTCAATGGGGACTAAGACTCACATTGTGGGGATTGTGTACAAAGGGCCGAGGTGCACACGTTGAGCTGTTGTTAATCTACCCCCTCATCTGCTTGGGGACAGGCACACACTAGTTCAAGTCGCTTCCCCGCACCGGCGGCTCAATAATCGCTAACTGTGACTGTCCCTGTCCAGGTCAGTGCCTACGGATTCATCACAAGCAACTACCAGAAATACTCAGACCACTATTTCGACCGAAAAAAGAAACCAGTGATATTTTACTCAAACCACGATCTGTCCCTGGAAGCTGTACTGTGGAGGGGTCTGCACAATGCTGGCATCCTTCGGCTGTTCCAGCGTTAACCCCAAAGCACCGACTTGTTTCCTAAGTACTTCTCTTGACCTTTCAACCTTTGGAAGAGGCATCCATCACTCCCCTTGACCTTCTGCTTCCCCGGAGGATACCGAGAAAGGACTCACGGCCTGGAATCACCAGAGGCTGTGCAACGCACAACACCCTCTTGACTCAAGACAACTCTTCTGGGTCTTAGGCAGGAGAGGGCAGACTGCTTTGTAGAATGTTTTAAAATTGAACCTACACGCCACCCAAAATGAGACAGCAACCCTCAACAGCAAAGAGGCTGGTATTTCAAAGCCAGCACCTGATCCTGAGCAACTAGGACATTAAAGGAGCCACTCAGGGTTATCTGGTAACCATTATCATGCAGAGGCCCACACCTAGCTGAAACCAGTGGCACGTCCCAAATGCCATTCAACCTGTGAAGACATCTTAAGCTTCCTAACAACAGAACTTTTCTGCCTGGCGAAATGTGGTGGATGACCATTTTGCCTTTTTTTTTTTTTTTATGTTTGTTGGTTTGGAGGGAGGGGTGAAGTACATACAGCTCAGGACTGTGACAACCTCGAAGGCAGGAGCACCACGGCCCAGGTTTTAAAAGCACATCCAGCACCAATGTATATGGGAGGTATTGGCTCTTGACCAACTACACCCAAATTGCCACTACTGAGAGAAGTCCTACTGGAGATGTAGCCCTCCTTGTCACCAACAGGACACTACTGAGTGACAGACCCTCATCCTCACGTCATTGCTTCAATAAAACATCAATTGAGGCAGTCTCGGTCTCATCCAATCAAAATTATCATGCAAGCACTAAAACTGCGTACGGCTGGGGGTGGGGAGTGGGTATCCAAACACCACACAGCAGCATACCCACACTGGCCAACTCCCCAAGGCTTGGTCTACAGATTTGGGGGAAATGGTGGGGATAAACTCCTAATCTTGAGACAACCAGCCTCTTGCTGTGCTGAGTTAGAATGGGGGAGAGGGGGGAGGTGAGACTCTCAAGCGTCCTGAGTCCTATGGCCTCCTCTCCAGACCACCTCAGTCCCAACCAGCTGACTGTGGTGACTACTTAAACCCTACTGCCCCAACAACCCACATTACTAGGTAACCTTTGATCTATAGTGCTGTTAGCAGTACTTTATCTCAACTTCTTTAGTTTTTCGAGAAAGGGTTGCTCTGGCTTGCTTTGGAGGTCCTGGAACTTGCTCTGTAGGCCTCCTGAGCGCCACCACTGCCAGGTTTTTTTTGAGGCCATTTTTATGTGTATGGATGTTTTGCCTTCACTGTTAGTCTGTGCATCACCCGTGTGCCTGGTACCCATGATGGCTAGAAAAGGATATAGGGTTCTTTGTGACTAGGGTTACAGACGGTTGTGAGCACCAATGGGTACTGGAATTAAACCAGGTGTTCTTAAACACCCTCACTGGGTTAAGTGTGGCGACCTATGATTTAAGTGCGAAGTCAATTTTAAACAGGTCAGTAGGAAATGTCCTGATTTTCTGCAGTCAGGTTCAAATGGTATTCTAGAACACCGCTTCAGAGTTTCTAAGCCTCAATCTCACATCCACAACAGTGAGTTAAGTTTAGTAAGGTTTATTTGTGCTTCAAAACACAAAGCCCAACCGACTCTTCCCAAGAAGTCCACCGTGAGAACTGCTTTTCTAGGCGCAGCTCCTGCTTCCCCAGGATGACTGGAGTCACTTGACTCTGCCAGCTACTTCTGCAGATCAAACTCCAAGGTCCTTTGATGACATTCTCTCTGGGAGACTAAAGGCAGCAGCAGCAGGGCACTAACATGAAAACAAACAAACAAAAAACACAACGTGAAGGAAACAGCCAGGTGAGTGTCTCAAAAATGAGGAATTTGGGAACCAGCACAATCAGACCAGGGCACTATGTGTGTTGTCAGAGTTCCAACCCAGGCTGATTAACTTTCTTTTTTTTTTTTAAGGAGACAAGAGAAGTTTCTGGGGATGGTAAAAAAAAAACTTTCACGAGAAACATTTATATTCAACTGCCTCCCTCTGTATATGGGCCTCTGAGTCCACACAGGAACAAAGCTAAGAGGGCCTGACTCTCACCCAAATGCAGCTACCTTAGGTGACGAAAAAGGCAGGTGGGTGGTGGCGGCTCATGTCTTTAATCCCAGCACTCACGAGGCAGAGGCAGGAGGATCTCTGTGAGTGTGAAGCCAGCCTGGCCTACAGAGTGAATTCCAGGTTAGCCAGGGCTACACAGAGAAACCCTGTCTCAAAAAACGGAAATTAAAGAAAAAAGTGACCGTAAGTACAAAAAGGCTGTACACACCCACCAGTTTCCATAGGGAAGGACAATCTGAGGGCTTCACAGCGGCCACTTAAGAGTCACCAAGGCCGAGCCCACCCCACCCCTTCTTACTTCTCTGGTGCAGCCATGACATTCAAACAGGACCTCATCTGTGCTGAGGCCGCCAGGGCTCCAGCACCTCTCTTTCCCCTAAATGTCAGAACTGTTGCAGTGGCAAGGACAGGGTCATTAAGCATTCTCATGGCACAAGCCTTACATTCCTGTCTCCTCCAAAAGAGCACATTCATTTTCTAGAAATGTGACAAGCACCCTTTCACTCTCCAAGTACAAAACGAGCCCTGGCAGCAAGCCCATTACTGCTCACTCTGGGGCTTTGCCCCCAGAGCCGTCACTCAAAGGACAGGGCAACCAGACCATAGGCTTTTGGAAGGCTAGCACACACAGCTCTCTGTGAAGTCCACTCAATCCCTTATAAAGCTCAAATTTCTTCAAGCATGGAGCCACACCCCCTAAGCCTCAGAACATAGTATTTTCCCTCAGCTGAAATTTTCAGACAGGGATAACTAGCATCCATCATAGGCTTATGGGCTTTTTTGGAACGCAAACAAAATATGAACATAAAACCAGAGGGCCAGGCATAGTGAGGAACGCCTTTAATCCCAGCACCTGGGAGGCGGAAGCAGGTGGACCTCCATGAGGTCAACCAGGTCTACACAGCAAGTGCCACCTGGGGTTAAACTGTGAGACGCTATCTCAAATCAAAGGGGGAGGGGGCTACAGGGAAGAAAGCAATCGCTTCCTTTGTCACAAGGGAGCCACCTCGTCCTGTACAACCCAGAGCAAGGGGATCAAAAAGCACTGACCCTCCACCCAGTCAGCGATGAGGAACCGCTGCGGCCCACATCCTGATTCAGGACGGTTACCTGCTGGCAGCCACAGCATCCGTTTCCGCCCCAGAGACCTGGCCTGCACCTGGTGACGAGGAAACACACACGGTTAAGTCTAAAGCAGCCCACTGGAAAACCATGCCCGGAGCTGCCGTCTGAGCCCGGGAAGCCGAGTTTCAGATATCCAGGTTCCACACAGAAAGGTCTCTTGACCTTCAGACAGGGATAACTTCACATCATCATGCACTCAGCTCCCACGGGACCGCCGGCCTTTGCTGGAGCCCCTCCTCTAGACTTTGGGTGGGCACGCTTACCGAAAGGAGCTCACGGCTCAACGCGCGCTTGGAGCGGAACTCCACAACTACGCACCGTCCACCTCCGCCTCCTCACTTGGCGGCCACGCCGGCCCGTTTAAGCTTGGGGATCCCGCCATTAGCCTGCAGGTTTGCTCCCCGACGTCTTAACAGGTGCCAGGGGCACGCCTTCCGGGAAGGAAAGAAACATGCCACTTGTAAAACTGTAGATTTTTCAGTCTGCAATCCCCTTTCCCCAGCCTGCGGTCATCACACAACGACCAGGCCCTGGCGGGGACACGTATTCACCCGTCAAGGCGCTGGAATGAAGGGCCACCTGAAAGGTTCAGGCATTGATTATGCTGGCCCGCCCTGTTACCTGGCAGGATGCACTCGGGTAGCACTCTGGTCAGCCCTGAGTTCTGGGAGCACCACGCAGGTGCAAGAGGACCCCTTTAAAGGACTGACCCCTGCCCACTAACGCTCTTGCTCCCATCTTTCTCACTTTCCTCTCTCAGCTCTGCACGGGCTGATTAGCCCCTCATCCCCCCTTTCCTTCCCTGTCCACCAATAAAACACTGCGGGATCGTTGAGTCACGGTTTGTGTCTCGTTACTGGATAAACCTAGACATTTTAACAACACCCCCACCCTCCAGGGAGGCCGCATGCTCCGTGCATGGCTGGCTGTGAGGCTCAGGAGGCTGGAAGGACCCCCCCCAAAAAAAGAAATAATAGACGGGATCGCGAAGCCTAAAGTGGGCTTCAGCCCCCCCCCCCCCATACATCTCCCCGCAGCCTGGAACACACTTGTCTTGACACGGAACCTCGGGCCCTCTGGAACCCTCGCTAGCAAAGCAGAGGATGGTGGACCAGGCGTGTCCACGGCACGCGGATAAAAACTCTCATTTCCCCTCTTCCGCAGCTTACCGACACCCAAAGCCCTGGTCCTTCCAGCGAGCGCATGGCGGGCTGCGGCAGCCATGAGTCCCACGCACGCGGCTGCGGCCGGCCTCGGAAAGGGAGAGGCTGCGCCTGCGCGCGGTCTTCCCGAGCCGAGTCTCGCCAGCACTCTCGCGGTGTTGAGGAAAGGCCTGACGGGAGATGTAGTCCTAAACCCACCGTAGCCGAGTCGAAGAAGGGGTAAGGTGGGTGGCCGCCGCCAGGGGGCAGCAGAGGTTCCTGGGGTGGGAAATGCGGTCCCTGGCTAGGGCCCGGGAGGCGGTGTTGGAGGGCGCTGGGGCCGACGAGGAGACCGAGGCTCGTGGTTAACCGCTCTGCGGACTTTATCTGGGGTGCAGGGACTCGCCGGCTGCCTTCAAAACGTGGGGGCGAGTGGGGGACACGGTGGTGACGGGAGAGCCGCTGTCACCTCCGGGAGCCCGAAGAGCTTTCCCGAATCCTTCGGCGACCTCGGCTGCAGTGACAGCCGCCCTCGTGGCTAGGATGGGCTGGAGATGAAATCATTTTTGACACAGAGGTGTTTAGCGTGAGGCTTAGGAGAAGGAGGGGCGCCCAGAATTCTGAGCGACACTACCCCAGTGTGGGAACGGGCTCAAGTCGGGCTTGCAATCAGTCGCCTTCGTGTCTGCCGTGCGTACTATTTTGGGGGCTGGAACGGTTGCTAGGAGACCTCCCCTTCCCCACTTTCTCGCTCTCCTGGATGAGTGAGGTCAAGTGCGCGGGCTCCGGGGAGCCCTTGGGTGGAACTGCAGCCCCGAAGCCACTAGGGGTCGCCAAGCACGGTTTAGGTCGTGTCCTCCCCTTGCGAGTGTGCTTGGTCTCTGGTGAGAGTCCAGGAAACTGTAGATTCATGTCTGGCAAGGGAGAAGGGGCCTTAAGGTTGGCCGTTGTGCCAGAATTCTTGCTTCTCTCCAGATTCCTGAATGAGGAGCCGCTTTGCCTTCTCATGTCACCTGCCTTTCTGAGTGTCATCTTCAGTCACTATATTGGCTTCTTCTTTTTTTAAATAGGGCAAAATAGCAAGGCCGGGGGGGGGGGGCTGGAGAGATGGCTCAGAGGTTAAGAGCACTGACTGCTCTTCCAGAGGTCTTGAGTTCAATTCCCAGCAACCACATGGTGGCTGACAACCATCTACAATTCAATCTGGTGTATATGTAATAAATAAATAAATCTTTAAAAAAAAATAGCAAGGCCGGACCGGAGCTTACACGTCTTTAGAAACGAGTTTAAATGTGCAAGCTCAGAGGCCTTGTATTGATAACTCTTACCCGTTGCCCGTTCTCCTCAAATGGGGCTCTGCCGCATTTAGCCTGTACCATTTTTTTAATGTGGAAATCTGTTGCCAACACATATTCTTAATGACCATATTTGCTTATGTTTATCTCCTTTAATTTGATTGTGAATGCTTCATGAGCAGGGGGGAGGGCCCTTAATATTTCCTTCTTAATTTCCTGGCAGTGCTGGTTTTCATGTTTGGCTGTCTTCTCACAGAATGTTCCAAGGAGAAATAGCCACTAATTTATTCAGCAAGGGCCCATGAATTTGCCTGTCTTACCCTTGATTAGTTTGTTCAAGACTGAAAGGAGGAATGCGTTTTTCTCCCAGCACACGAAGTTCTTTCATTTGAGGCTTGCCTAGGGAATTGGGAAGAATTTGCCCGAAAGCTGCTTTGTGAAACTTGTGGGCACGTGACCTTCTGCCGACAAGACAATAAGGGTAGTCAGTACTTGATGGCATTTGCCAGGTGGCCATTCACTACATGTTGGTCCTCACAATCTACTAAGCTGGGCAGATGAAGAAATACATAATGAGAGATGAGGTTACCGTTTAAAGTCACGCTGGTATCTGGCAGACTTCGTTTGATCTCAGCCTGAGGGGTTTATGCTTTCCACTAAGTTGCTCGGTACCGTGAGTGAACTAATCTAATATGGAAGTACTTTCCTAAGGGGAAAGGGAAAACAGAAGAGGGCTTTTTTTTTCTGGTTTTACGAGACAGGGTTTCTCTGTATTGTTCTGGAGGCTGTCGGTCAGCCCGGCCTCGAACTCACAGGGATCCACCTGCCTCTGCCTCCCGAGTGCTGGGATTAAAGGCGTGCGCCACCACCGCCTGGCTCTTTTTTTTTTTTTTAAGTATGGGTGTGACCATGTATGCAGGTGACATAGAGGTCAGAGATCAACTTGGGTTCTCAAACACCCTCCACCTTATTTATTATTTATTAGTAGTAAAAAAAAGTCTCTCCCTACATACACCTGGAGCTTTTTCGGATTTGTCTAGACTGACCAACCAGTGAGCTCCAGAGATCACCGCCCCCACTTCCCCAGCGTCGGGATTACAGGCCCACGCCACCATACTCAGTTTATCCTTCCATTTTGTTTATTTATTTTGTGCGGGGGCGGGGAGGTGCTGTGCCTGCATGTATGTCTGTGCACGGAGGCCAGAAGAGGGTGTCAGATTACCCCTGGACCAGGAGTTACAGTCGTGAAGTAACACTGGGTTTCCGAGAACTTGGGTCCTCTGGGAGAGCAAATGCTCTTCCGCGCTGAGCCGTTTTCCAGCCCCTGCACCTGGCTTCTTTTTTTTTTTTTAAGATTTATTTATTTATTTATTTATTATGAATACGACATCCTGCCTCCATGTCTGCCTGCAGGCCAGAAGAGGGCACCAGATCTCATTACAGATGGCAGTGAGCCACCATGTGGCTGCTGGGAATTGAACTCAGGTCCTCTGGAAGAGCAGTCAGTGCTCTTAACCTCTAAGCCCTCTCTCCTGCCCCGCACCTGGCTTCTTATGTGAGTGCCCCGGGTGGGGAATCTGGGCTCGTGTCCCCTGTCGGTGCAGGAAGTACTTTGCCAACTGAACCAGGTCCCCAGATGCAGGCTTTCTGTCTTTACAGAGGTGGTTGGAGACTAATAAAAAAAATGTTGACTGAAGAAGGCCCAGCACCTGCTTTCTTGGCGTGAGCCACACGGTGGCAGAGTGGGGGCGTCTGTAGGAGCCACTCTGTGTAAGACTGACTTTGTGTAAGGCTTTGGGATCTAGCAGTGTTGGGGTGGGGTGGGGGGCGGCTAATTGCCACCTAGTGTGGAGAGAGGCCACTGTTCCTAGCTACTCACTCTACCATGGGGCTTTGTGTGGGATTCCCACCCGACAGCGCACAGTTTCTCATCCGTACGTCCCGGACCGGCCACAGACAGCCATGCAGCAACCAGTGTGGGTGCCACCAGCAAGCTGGGCAGTGGTCAGCAGGCTGGAGCAGACTGGAAGAGGCCTTGTGCCGGAGCTCGCATGAGGCGCAGCTGTGTAGGCAGTCTAGAAATAACTGGAGAAGCTTCAAAGAGTGCATCAGAGTCCCTGAATGAGCAGCCAAGGACAGAGCTGCTCAGAACCGAGTGCTAACGCTACTGTGATCTCATTTGCACCCTGCTGCCGAGATCCTGCGCCACCCGAGTGGTGCATGCGCACAGTGGAGCCCTGTAGCCGGTCTAGGAGACTCGAGGGGATCCCTGCGACCGCGTGCAGAACCGCAGTCCAGTGCCAAGTGTCGGAAGCGCGCAAGCAGACCGTGGCCCCAGTGCCCTGAGAGACCCAACCCAAGAGTGCACGGGGGTGGGGGGTGGGGGTGGGGGTGGGGGTGGGGGTGTCAGCCGCTGACCCGCGGCGCTGGGGCAGCCCCTGGTAGCACGCGCGGTGTCTGAAACCCGCAGTAAGAAAGCAGCCTTTACAAATACTGGAGGCCCCTTCTTAATCCCAAGGGAATCTTTGATTTTATTCATAAGATCGTGAAGCAGGGTTGGTGGTTGCTGGCTGCTCACACTGGAAGTGGTGGCACCAGTGATTTCACAGGGAGGATGTCCGGATGCAGGCATGTTGGCGGCGGCCTGCAAGCTGGTCTTCTTCCATGTCGTCTCCAGTACAACTCTTTAAAGTCTTTAAAAACAGCAGCCTCTCTTCTGACTCTGGGACACTGTAGAGATGGGGCGCTTGGGCCTGCTACAGCCCTCTGGGATCTGTGAGACTTCCTTCAAGGCAAGAGCCCGATGCCTCTGAGGACGGACTGGAAAGAAGAAAGGAGAGCTTGAGGCTGCTGTCGGGCTGCCCGGATAGCCAGCCCCGAAACCCTGGGCTTTCACGCTTCCTATTTCTTTTTAAGTTTTTTAAAAAATAGTTTATTTATTTATTATGTATGCAATCTTCTGCATGCCAGCAGAGGGCACCAGATCTCATTCAAGGTGGTTGTGAGCCACCATGTGGTTGCCGGGAATTGAACCTCTGGAAGAACAGTCAGTGCTCTTAACCACTGAGCCATCTCTCCAGCCCCCATGCTTCCTATTTCTGTACGTAGGCTATGCCTTGAAAGTTCCAGTGACATGCAGAACATGAGATACAAGAAACAAATGCCATTGCTTAATTCATTCCAAGTTGGAGTTCCGTGAAGAGTTTCCCAGTCATAACAAATGATAGTGACATTCCCCATGTCTTCATAAAGAGTCCCCCCCAAGAAGCCTCGAAAGGTGGTGCATGCCTTGAATCCCAGCTCTCGGGAGGCAGAGGCAGGTGGATCTCTGTGAGTTCCAGGCCAGCCTGAGCTGCACAAGGAGACCCTGTTTCAACAAACAACAAACAAAACACACCTAGAAGAAGCCAAGCCTTCACCCACCTTATCCGCGAAGCCGTTTCCTCTTGTAACATTTCTACTTAGACACGGATCTTTTAAAAATAAACAAGTTTGAAGAATCTGAAACATTGTCTGGACCTCATCTGTTTCCTGGGCATACAGTCTCCGCATTCCCAGAAATCCTGCCTTCTCCACACTGCGTAAGCTTTGCTTGTCTGTGCCCTTTGCTTTGGCTTCCCGTTCCCCCCTTCTCTGCTCTCTCTCTGTTTAAGATGAGATCCCAGCTCATCTTACACACCTCCTGTGCGTACTCTCAGCTGCCATGCTGAGTCAGGCTCCAGGTTTTCCTGGTGACCCCTTTGCTGTGGCAGGTGGTGTAGCATGTGCTCTGATACCAGACCAGCCTGGAGGAAAGTCCCAGTGCGACTGAACCCAGCTTGGATAAGTTTGGGCCCATTACTCACCTCCCTCGAGCCTCGTGTCTCTCTCTTTTTGTTTGTTTGTCTGCTCTTGTTTTGTTTTGCCAGACAGGGTCTCGCTATGTAGCTCTGCTTGTCCCGGAACTCTGTAGTCCAGGCTGGCCTCGGACTCACAGATATCCTCCTGCCTCTGCGGCCCTGTTGCTGGGATCAAAGGTGTGCGCCACTGCTCCGTTTCTAGCCTCGTCTTGACAGCAAGGGAGGAGGAGGATGAACCCCACAGGACCGATTGTCTTAAGCCTGTGTATCCGAAGCACTTACGCAGTGCCTGGCGGGAAGTAAGTGTACCACAGATGGAGCTCTTGATGCCTGCATTACGTCTCACTTGGTTACCCACTGGTTTTTTCTAATATCTATATCTGTGTGCGTGTGTGTGTGTGCATGCGTGTGCGCACGCCTGCCTGTGTTCACCTGCACTGTGTGTGCACACGCCTATAGAGGCCATCGAGTGTCAGATGGTTGTGAACCACCTGGTGTGGGTGCTGGGAATTGAGCCGGAGCCCTCTGCAAGAGCAACACGTCCTTTAACTGCTGAGCTGTCTGTCTGTCTCCCCAGCCCCGATCCACTCTCCATCATAATCACCTTTCTGCCCCCCCCCACTCCCTTCCAGGCATCGAACCCAGGGCTCATCCAAGCAAGACAAGCGCCCCTGCCTTCCTTTTGCTTTTTTCTGGGGGGCGGGGCTGGGGGACAGGATCTCTCACTAAAGTTGGCTTTGAATTTATCATCAGCCTCTCTGGTGTCTGGCATTAGAGGCCTGTGCCATGTTTATTTATATCTTGCTTTTTTTTTTTTGCCAGACTGTGAGCAAATAACGATTAGGTCTGCATTCGAGTTTTTTGCTTTTAACCCTGTAAGCCTCTTTATTGAGGTGTAAAATAGATCCAAAATGCACTGCTGGCGTCCACTAAGCAAACACGTGCATATAAGCGTAATCCCAAAAAGATTCAAAGCCTTTTGCCACCCTGGAGCCCACATGCCTTTGTTGTTGGTTTTACAAGCAGTTCCCATATCTAGCCCTGGCCCGAGTCAATCTGCAGTCTGCCTCTATCGATCACCCTCCCCTCCCCCCTTTTAAGAATTGTACTAATTGTTGAGTTGTAAAACTTTTGGTTTGCTTTGGTTTTGGTTTTTCAAGACAAGAGCTTCTCTGTGTAGCCCTAGCTGTCCTGACCCTGAACTCAGAGGTCTGCCTGCCTCTGCCTCCCAAGTGCTGGCATTAAAGGCATGCGCCGCCAAATCCCAGCTTGTTTTGTTTTTGTTTTTTTGTTCAAGTTCTTTTAATAAATACTTTATTTTTCTTTGCGTGTGGGTGGGTTGGGGGGGTGCATGTTAGTTCAGTGCCCAGAGGCCAGAAAAGGGAGTCGGAGTCCCTGGAACTGGAGTTACAGGTAGTTGGGAGCTGCCGTGTGGGCGCTGGGAACGGGACTCCGGTCTCCTGGCAGAGATACCTATAATAACTACTGAGCCAGCTCTCCAGGCCCTGAGCTGTAGAAGTTCCTCATTCTAGTGTTTAAACTATTCCTTTACTTTTATGTGCGTGCATATGTGTCTGCATGCACTCATGGGCACCACGCACGTGTGAGAAACTTCAAGTTCATAAGAGGGCATCAGATCTGCAACAGACTGCAAAAGAGCACAGGACCTTTACCTCGGAGCCATGTCTATTCTAGATACTTATTTTGTTTTCCAGAGAGGGTCTCACTATGTAGCCCTGGCTAGCCTGACGCTCACTCTGCAGACCAGGCTGGCCTCAGACTCTCAGGGATCCACCTGCCTCTGCTCCCGAGCGCACCGCAGTGTCGAGCCTGTTTGGGGGGTTCGCTTGTTAGTTGTGTGCGGTGCCAAGAACTGAACGGCCGGGCTTTGCACATGCTAGCCCATCACCCTACCACTGAGTCACAGCCCGAACATTCGTCTTCAGACACCTGCCTGGCCGGCGTCCTATCCAGTCTTCACACACATTCAGTTTACTTTTGTCTGTTGGTTCTTGTCTTGTGTTTTCTGTACCCTGCTGAATTGTCCTCGCTGCTTCTGTTTCTGTGCGTCCCCACGAGCGTCACGCGTGTCTCTCCACCTGCCCTAGTGTCCTTTCCCTGAGCACCAGACAAGGTGTCGTCCCTGAGCAGAGGCCAAGACAGTCACCGGGTCACTGTCTGTGGCACCCACTGTCACGCCTGCTTCTTATCCCTTGTCCAGTTTCTGCTTGGATTTGACAGGTGCTGCGAGTCTGGTTTTGTATCCTGGCACGAGGACGCAACATAAACGCCCGTCACATAGGCTCATCTGTGTCGGCACCTCGGGACACAGTCGGCCACAGTCTGCCTCCGTGGGGATCATCTAGGCCCCTGCAGGTCACCTGCCGCCTCCCTTCATCTCACAGCTGTGCCCTGGGGTCCTTAGTCCTTCACGTCCCATCACCAGGCCACGCAGAACTGAGGCGTTTGCTGTGTGGGGAAGCTGAGCTGTGGGGAAGCTGAGCTGTGTGGAGAAGCTGAGCTGTGTGGAGAAGCTGAGCTGTGTGGAGAAGCTGAGCTGTGTGGGGAAGCTGAGCTGTGTGGAGAAGCTGAGCTGTGTGGAGAAGCTGAGCTGTGGGGAAGCTGAGCTGTGTGGGGAAGCTGAGCTGTGGGGAAGCTGAGCTGTGGGGAAGCTGAGCTGTGGGGAAGCTGAGCTGTGTGGGGAAGCTGAGCTGTGGGGAAGCTGAGCTGTGTGGAGAAGCTGAGCTGTGGGGAAGCTGAGCTGTGGGGAAGCTGAGCTGTGGGGAGAAGCTGAGCTGTGGGGAGAAGCTGAGCTGTGGAGAAGCTGAGCTGTGGGGAGAAGCTGAGCTGTGGGGAAGCTGAGCTGGTCTAGACAACAGAGTTCCTCCCAGCTGGCAGAGCTGAGCCAGCGGAACTTGGCTCCCTGGCCAGGATCCTCCCGCGGTCCTAAGCAGCGGGGCCAGGGAAAGTGGCTGTCATTGCTGCTCCCGGCACCTCTTGATGTTTGTCTGTCGTGGTCTCCCATTGCGTGCTTGTAAGTAAGCAGTCAGATGAATACATGCTTTCTCAGTGCTTAACTCACATGGCTTTTTGCCTATGCGTGGTGTGTGTGTGTGTGTGTGCGTGTGCGTGCGTGTGCGTGTGTGTGTGTGTGTGTGCGCGCGTGTTGTCATAGGAATGAGACTGGCGTCTTGACTGGCTCCCATGTTCAGAGTCTGTCATTAAACCCTTTCTGTTTGTCTGAATTTTCATAGCGAGGCCTCCATCTTAACCCCCCACTAGGGGGCACAGGCATCTCACGGAGAGGGTCTGTGGTCCTAATGTAGGTCAGTGGATCCCTGCAGCCACCTTCTTAGGCTCCATGCCCTGCACCCTTCCCCTGGTAAACAAACAAACCGGAGCTGCTGCCTTCCTCCCCCTCCCCCTCTGCAGCTAGGCTGCTGGCTGTCACCCTCTCCCCAGGGTCCTGGCCCTAGTTGGAGGAGGCAACTGAGTGGCAAGTGACAGTGACTGTGAGTGATGGCCTTGTTGTCTGTCATCCCCACCAGGGGCCACGGTTTCCCACTTCAGTGGCAGCAATGAACCCTAAGGAGGTGGGGGGGAGGGCTGTCCTTGCTGTCCCCAGCTGTCGAGCTAAGACTAGCCTTTCCCATCCCAGCGTCTGGCCTGCCTTCGATTGACATGTGCCCAAAGAGAAAACAGCAACCCATTTCTCTGTTTCTCATCCCTCACTTCTCAACAGAAAACCCCCGCAACCCTGGCTACCTGCATAGACAGGCAGGCAGGCAGGTCCAAGTGTCCTCCTAGGTAGGTCACGCCCTCTTCACGCCCTCATCTCCAGACTCAAGGCCCCTCTACCATCAGCCTTGGCACCCGGTTCCGAGACACCGGTCCCGGCTTCACTGCCAGCTGTGACCTTGGATAGATTCTGCGAACTCCACTTTCCTTATTAGGTAAATGAGGCTAACAACAGTTCCTGCCCCATCAATGAGACCGCGCTTATAAATAAGGCACTGGGCACAGTGCCTGGCGTATAATAAGTGTCTGATCCATATTAGCCATTATTAACAGTGTTATTAGCGTCCTCAGCATCTGTTAATGTGAGCTTCAGCATAGCCGCTCTGCCCTTCTCCTCATTTTCTGTCTCACAAAGAAACAGCTCTTTCCTCCCGCCCAGGGGCTCAGCTTCTCCTTAACAGCAAAGCCCCTCCAAAGAGCCCTGGCTGCCCACGGAGCCAGGGAAGTGAAGTACCCTGTTCTGCTCTTGCCTGTCTCAAATTGGGCCCCCAGGTTTCACGTAGCCTGGGACTGGCCCGCACTCTGCCATGCTCCGAATGCAAACACGCTCTACCCATTTGTGGTGGGTGGGTAACCCCCCCCCCAGAGTCTTCTCTGCACTGTAGGGCGGCGGCCCAGGACAGCAGCAGCTGCAGAAGCTGCTAAAACCACCACAGCTCCTCATCCGATCTCTGCTCATGTCCCAGCCTCCAGGAGGGACTGGCAGCAGTCCCGAGTGTCAGCCCCGAAAGCAGCAGCCAGCAGCACCCTGCCTGCCCGGGCTGCTGCCCTTGGCCACCCCACGGCTCAGGCTCAGAGCAGCCTATTCCCTGCCACTCAGGCTCTCCCTGCCACTCAGGCTCTCCCTGCCACTCAGGCTCTCCCCGCAGCAGAGAGATTAGCATTCAGACAAGGGAGGGAAGGTATCAGGGTGATGGGCTCCTGTCCTCGGCAGGGCAGCTAGGATTGGTTTGGAAAGCGAAGCCTGTCACAGGGAGGTGTCTGGGCTCAGACAGCCTTCTGCACACGGAGGAGGCCCTTGTCGGGTGTTCTCACCCGCCCTCCACCACAGCCTCCCAGTCCCCCCCCCCGCCCCCTTGCCTCTTCTCATTCGCCCATCACCCGGCTCTGCTGGATGTGGAGAGGGGAAAGGGAGCTACGGGGCGAGGAGGGGAAGAGCCGCAGCAGCTGAGCAGTCATTTTCAGTCAGACCTGCAGACGCTCACTGGTCAAGGACAGCTCACATGTCTCACCCTCACAGCTACTAACTCCGTCGTAGGGATGAGAAGCCGGGAGCCCAGAGACGCGCTGCAACCCACCCCACCCGAGGGCGCAGAGGACAGGGTGGCAGCCCCTGTTTTTGCCCCTGTCAGAGGCAGCACCCCACACAGCAGCCAGCACCCATCTCTTGGTCTCAGTCCTGTCCCTCCAGTTGTCCTTAGCTTTCTGTCCACCAAGCACATAAATATTCCTGCTCCCATTTCCGAACGGCAGCTATTTCTAAGGAAATGGGAAAGGAAAAGACTCAACCTCTGTGAGGACAGTGTCATGGCCAGGAATTAACTGACACTGCCTCATACTTTACAGATCCTCCCTCGACCTGTGTGATGGGAGCTAGCGGGCTCAGGGAGGGCATCTGTGAAGTGGGCACCTCCTGTGGAGGAGTTCCAGGTGAGGGAGGGCACCTGGGCCGTGAGAGCCTTCTCTAGAGGAGTTCCAAGACGAGGGAAGGGACTTGATGCAGCAGGAGCTACAAATGGGCAGAGTGTACAGAGAGCCAGGGTGGGAGAGGCCCTGGGAATAAGCGGAGCGTGGGCAGGGTGTGCGGGGAAGGTGTAAATACAGTCTGCTCCCACCAAAGCCAGCCTGCTCCCTGGGGGAGAGGGCCCCTCCCTCCCGGCCCACATGGCGCCCCAGCTGCCAGGGCCCAGGGAGTCACATCCCCCACGCCAGCCAGCCCCTTCCCATCCCACCCTAGCCCTGAGGAGGCTCGCAGAACAGTGTGGCAAAGAGGTGCTGTCCCGTGTGTGGGAAGTGGGTCTGGCCTGGCAGCCAGCCCTGGTGCCTCTGTGACCTTGGCCTGACAATTTCTCGGATCGTTGGAAGGAGGCGGGCAACTTGGAAATGGCAGAGGCCAGAATCAAAGATGAAATGACAGGAACATGGTGAATAGATTAGAGAATGAATGCAAAGCTGGGTTCAGAGAACACAGACGGGTCCCCAGGAACACTGCCCTCTGGCCATCAGCCTGACAGTCCTGTCGTTAGGACAACAGCTTGTGCGTGCCTCCCTGGAGAAAAACGGGCTGATGGGACCTGAGACAGTTGGCCATGGACCGGCTCATGACCTGAATCAGGTGGACACTTCGGCAGGTTCTTTCCCCTAGCCAAAGTGTACACACACACACACACTCACATATACACACTCACACTCTCACACTCACATATACACACACTCACAGACATACACACACTCACATATATATACACATATATGCACCCTCAACACACTCACACACATACTCACACGCTCATACACACTCACACATATACACACACTCACATATATACACACATATATGCACTCTCACACTCATACACACATATACACACTCACACACATATGCACTCTCACACACTCATACACACATACACACTCTCACACACACACGCACCTCTGTGCCCTACGGAGGACAGCCCCCACAGAACTGCCTGTATACATACCCACGCCAGCCTCCCTGCAGTACCAGCCACCTCGCCCAGTGGGTAGCTCCCTGCAACAGTGGGTCCTTCCGCTGCTGTGTCTCTCACCCTCTCTCTCCTCTGACACTGACCCGGAGCAACACCGAGACCCTGCTGTCTAGGGGACTGTCTTCTGCCGCCTGACTGTCAGGGGCAGAGGCTGGCCAGACAGAGGAGGTATTACTGCTGGGCCGGCAGTGGGGAGCTGGATGGGGAAGAGAGTTACATGGGGAGGGGTGGCTTTTGAAGATGAATGGCTCCCAGACAGTCGGGAGCAGCTGCCCACAGGGTAAGCCTGGATCTGGGAGCGGGAGCGGAAATGTGCTTTTATCTCGTGGCTCTGGACCGGGCAGGACAGTAAAGAGAGAAATGGCAGAGCAGCTGGGGGCAAGGGAGACCGCCACTGAGTTACTGAGCAGTCAGCACAGTGACAAAAACGGGTGTCACACTTTCCCTTCCCCCACGCCGCCACTCATTTGGAGCGCACACACCCGTGCACGCAGACACGGACACAAAGCACATTCGGAACACAAGCTGGTGTTCGCTCCCATCCAGCGCCAGGCAGACATGCCACAGATCCAGCTGGCCCTTCTTACTGATAATTTCAGGAGAGCAGCCAATGACGGGCTGAGTTCTAGGGTCTGAAAAGAGGCAGATGCCACAGGAATGAGCATCACCGTAGCAAAGTGACACCACACAGCCCCAGACCACAGGGATTTAACAAACAGCTCCTGCGCTGACAGATAACCAGGTCAGCCCCCCTCTGACAAGCAGATGCAAAGTTGAGTAGGGGGTGAGCTTGGACTTCTCCCTGTGTCTTCTTGAGCGTGTACCATAGACGCCAGGACTGCTATCTGTGGGTTGTGGTCAGGATTGGATAAGAGAACAAACCGGGGAGCCCTTGATGACCAAGCTCAGGCTATCATTTCTCCTTTCCTTGATCCTCAAGTCTTCTTGATCTCTGTTTGCACCTGGCCCTCGCCTGGGATGCTGGGTTTCCCTGAAGTCAGCCTCAGAGAGCCTGGAAAGTCCCTCTCTCTGCGCCTTCTCCTCAGAGCAGGAACTCGGGAGTGGGAGCCCAGGAAGCACAAGCATCCATGCTCTTCCTGCCAGCACCAGCCTTGCTCGGGAGCCCTAAGTCACGGCCTGTCAAGGAGCAGACCTGGGGGGTGGAGGGAAGAGCCTACCTCTCCATGGCTGCTCCTCCCGTTCTCCCTGATGCTGCTGCTTCCAAACCCACAGCATCCTCCTGGGATGGTGGGTGAACCAGGACTCCAGCTGGGAGGGAAAAAGCCAAAACGGTTCACTGCCCCTTCCAATGCCCAGAGTTGGGATGTGTATTTCAGAGTGGTGCATCCCAGAGCACTGCCTCTCTCTTAGAGCTGAGACTGCCCTCAGGATGTCGTAGCTCAGCTGCCACCTCATCTCCAAGCCTAGAAGGCACAATCAGAACCCTACCTGATCCTCTTCAAACCAGCCCTTGCCCTGTGGCCTGAGGCCTACCTAAGTAGCAAGCACAAGACAAACTCACCCTCACTCAGCCTCCACCAGTGACTGTAAGAGCTACAGACTGCCTCCCATGCAAACCATACACACACACACTCACACTCTCACAAGCACACACACTCACACTCGCGCGCACACTCACACGCGCACACACGCACACTCACAAGCACACACACTCGCGCGCACACACTCACACTCACAAGCACACACTCGCACGCACACACTCACGCTCACGCACACACCCACACACACAAGCACACACACTCGCGCGCACACACTCATACTCACACACTCACGCACACACTCACAAGCACACACTCACGCACACACTCGCGTACACACTCACACACATACACACACGCACACAATCTCACAAGCACTCACACTTGCGCACACACACACGCACACAATCTCACAAGCACTCACACTTGCGCACACACAGGCACACAATCTCACAAGCACTCACACTTGCGCGCACACACACACACGCACACAATCTCACAAGCACTCACACTTGCGCGCGCGCACACACACACACACACACACACACACACACACACACACCCCGCCCCATGGCTGGACTGCAGCCCTGCCCTCTGCCCTCCAGAGCTCCTGTCCTGCCTTTACCTGTCTGGGCCGGTGGGTCACAGTTTCCAGAGCTGAGCTGCCTGAAGAAGTGAGGGCCTACCTCACAGGTTCCTTCTCCCTGAACAGAGGGAAAACGCTCGAGTCAGAAGATGGAGGCCTTGAACTTGTGGTGCTTAGGCCTCCCCTCTCTCTCCTATTTCCTCTGTGCCTCCCTAGCCAGCCCTGCAGCAGCCTCCACCAGCAATTGGCTCCTCCTTGTCAGATTAGTTTTTCCAGGTAACTGGGTGCCAAGGAGTTAAGAGGTAACCAGACTACGTTTGGCCAGATGGTCCCTAGGTTTGGCCTTTCTCTCTGGTCAGGGAATCCAGGCCTATGTTTTATAGGCAAGACAGCTACTTAGAAGCCAGTTGGTCCCCCCCATTCAAATCTCCTCAGCCATTACTGAGTGGTTATAAAGAAACAGCCACATCCTACTAAGCCTACGGTTATTGAGAATTACTGCATAAGAAAAGTTTGGGAGATGGGACTGGTAACACACGCCTTTAATCCCAATTCAGGAGGCAGGGGTAGGCAGATCTGAGAGTTTAAAACCGGTTTGCTCTACGTAGCAAGTTCCAGGGCAGCGTAGTGAGACCCCGTCTCACAATCAAATGAAAAATAAAACAAGAGAGGAAGAAAAGAGAAAGGAAGTTCTAGGGAAACACAAAGGCACCCACTGGCTGTGTATCCCAGGAAAAGTATCTCAGGAGCACCACCCAGGAGCACCACCCAGGAAAAGTATCCCAGGAGCACTATCCCAGGAGCACACATCCCAGGAGCACACATCCCAGGAATAGTATCCCAGGAGCATCATCCCAGGAGCACCACCCAAGAGCACCATCCCAGGAATAGTATCCCAGGAGCACCATCCCAGGAAAAGTATCCCAGGAGCGCCATCCCAGGAGCATCATCCCAGGAGCATCATCCCGGGAGCACCATCCCAGGAATAGTATCCCAGGAGCACCATCCCAGGAAAAGTATCCCAGGAGCACCATTCCGGGAGCACACATCCCAGGAGCACCATCCCAGGAAAAGTATCCCAGGAGCACCATTCCAGGAGCACACATCCCAGGAGCACACATCCCAGGAGCACCATCCCAGGAGCACCATCCCAGGAGCACCACTCACACTAGCATGCTAGCACCGGCCCAGCAGTTAAGTTCCACTGCGCTTCCAAGCAGCCTTGCAACCACTGTCAACAGCTCCAGCCTTAGGGGTCACGGTATATATTTACCCTCCCACACCGACTGAGGGCCAGTCAGTAAGGACACCCTCCTTCCTGTGGCCCCGAATCTCCCAGAGCCCTTGGAGACCTTTTTTACCCTTTGTTTTCACTAGGAATGAGAGATGATCTCAAGATGTCTCCCATGCTAGGGGGTCCATGGGCAGGCACATAATGTCTCACACATAGGAACTAAGTTGATAGCGCTTTACTTTTTTAGTGTTTTGAGGGGGCACAGAGGCCCCTTATTATCCAGAAGACTTCGGTAAGCCCGGGAAGGAACAGCCTAGAAGAATACACAACTTTGCTCCCCACTCCCACCCCACAAAGGCCACATGGCTTCCACCTAGGGAAGAGTTAACTTTCTGGCCACTGGAGACAGTGTCCTGCCCTCGGGGACTGCCCAGCCAATGGCACTCAGTGCTGGTGATGTCATGCTCCTCCTGCGCCTTCTATTGGGGACCGGACAGCGAATCCTACTGGAGGTTCAGGCAACTGAGCGGCAGAGCTGGTCGGTCGGTGGCAGGGGAAGGAGGAGGAGGGAGGGCCAAGGACAAGGGAGCAAATCAACCCAGAGCAGCTCCTGCCTCCTCCTCCTGCTCCCTGCCCCTTCCACAGAAGGCCCTCCTGGGGACTGTCCTACACTCCATCACAAAAGCGAAACAACACAGCTCTGGTCCAGAAAAGGGGGCAAGGGTCCCCTCTGCCACCTAACCTGGCCACCACACAAGGAGTGACTATAGCAAGCATTCACACACACACACACACACACACACACACACACACGCACGCTCACTCGCTCACAGGCTCACACGCTCGCACACCAGTAGCTTCCTTGGCGCCACTTTCCCCACCCCTGACTGTCCTTCACCTGCCCGAAGACTGAAAGTCTGCGTCGGAGCTGCGGCCCACAACTGCCCCATCCACTGTGCTGGGCTCTCTGGAAGGGAAGAGTAGGCAAGAGAATGTGTAGGCAGCGCTCAGCCTCTGTCCCACCCTCCTTTTACGGTCTAGCGGCTACTCCAACCCCGCACCACCTGCTCTGAGAGTGACCCTTGCTGGGTGCCCTTCAAGTCCCCTCCCAGGCCAGTGAGAGGCCCAGGCAACCCCTGATCACCCGCGGCTTATCTGTAGCCCTCCCTGAAAGTTCCTCCCACCCACGACCCCGATACGCAGTGGTCTCTCACGGTTCCACCCGGTTGCCAAATCTGCGGCGCCACAGCATGGCCAGGCTGAGCAGGAAGAGGGTGGTGCACATGGCTCAGCTGCCCCATCCCCCCACCCCCGAAGACCAACTCTGCCGAAGAAGGCCACAGGTGAGGGGCCACAATGGCGGGCAGCCGCCTCTCCCAAGCCAGCGGCTGTGTTTCCTGGGGTTCCTGGGGACGGATTAGGAGGTTCGAGCTGATTAGCGGGAGTCAGCAGAACTGACCTTGTGAAGAGAGATTAGACTCACCAGGCCCAAGATGTCCCCCGTAGTGGCAAGACCTGCACAGTGGCTCCGAGTGACTGTCCAGAAGGTTCTACCCAGAACATCCGATACTCCCTGGGCTCTGGACTCAAGGGCAGGTAGTGCAATCAAGTGAGTTTTCTTCCACACAGTGTTAAAGGTTACCTGCAGAGCACCAGGGGGCACTGATAGCTTCAGAAAGGATCCGGGGCCTGGCGGAGCGACAAGGACCCGTAAGCCACTGGGGAAAGGGCAGGGTCTCAAGTTCAAAGCCTGGATGAGCTACACAGACAGTGGCTAGCCTGGGAAACCTGATGAGACTGCCCCAAAGAGGCTCCGTGGTAGGGGGCTCACCTGGCATTCCCAGGCCCTGAGTTCAGTCCCCAGTGCTGGAGAGAAGAATGAGTGAGCGCAGCTGGATCTGAACTTGCTGGAGAAGGTTGCGCCCTCAGCCCAGCCAGCTCTGCCTGGCCCCTGACATGACAGCGTGCAGGACTCCAGTGGCCGAGGCTGCGAGGCACAGGGACCGCGCTGTCGCAGCACGGGCATCGAGAGCAGAGAAGGGAAGAGGAATGGATGAGGATGCCAGCAAGGCCGGGAGAGCGGAGCACGCCTGTGAGCCTGGCTGCTTGCTCCCCCTGGCAGCTCCGAGGTCTTCCCGCTGCTTCCCTCTCTAGTAAAAGGTAGAGTCGAGGTGTGCACTCATAGATGTGCACTGTAAATCCTGTCTTATATAACTGTCTTATGTAAGTTAGATATAAATCAGAAGCGTATCAATCATGTGCTTGAGGTGTACTGAGGGGAAGGTGAAAGCCAATAGAAACGTCCTCTGCCTGTCCCACCTGGACCTCCCGGGCAGCTGCCTGGGCCTCCGGAGAGTAGAGCAGCAGTCAGCCAGGCGGGACTGAGTGATGTTGGGACATGAACCCACACTGTCCCCCATCTCCTCTAAGACCTTCAGTTTTCCATCCCTAACCAAGATGGGAGGTAAGACCTCCTGCCCGGGAGGCACCCCAACACTGAACTCCAGGGACGGCCTCCATGACTGAACCTTAACGTCTGACTTTATTTTCTAGACTTTTTATTTTTGTATTATTATTGTGTGTGTGTTCCCATGCATGCATGTGTGTGCACGCCCAAGACAGAAAGACACATACACACACACAGAGAAAGAGACAGAGAGAGAGAGAGAGAGAGAGAGAGAGAGAGAGAGAGAGAGAGAGAGAGAGAGAGAGAGAGAGAGAGAGAGAAGGAGGTCAGAGGATAACTTTCAGGAGTCCTTTCCATCCCCACGTGGGTCCCAGGGATGGGACTCAGATCATCAAGGCTTTGGAAGCCAGTGAGCACCTCCAAAGCTTTTAAATCAACAGGAACAAAGCTGAAGAGGGGAGCCACCTCCTGGGTGACAGGACTCCACATCTTACTCCCGATCACCCCCCTCATCTGCCTCAGGTCAGCCAGCCCCTTCTGGTCTCAAGAGTTCCCGCCATCTATGCCAGGCCTGAACAACTGCAGACAAGACAAAGTCTCTGGGTGTCTCGAGACAGGGCAAGCCTGCCCTCTGTCCCGACCTCAACCATCCACGAGCAGCCTACCACGAAGGATTTGCCTTCTGGCTTTCAGATTGAATCCTTGACGGTGACAGATGTCTCCACTGCCCTGTGCCTTATGACTTCCGATCCCACAGATCTGATTGCCACTGCCTCCTTCTGGAACTTCACCCAGGTCAAGGCCACGGTTCAGCACAGTGTCTGGTTCTTACCTGCCTGTCCTTAACTGGCACTCGGGACTTCCTTCCTGCTTGCTGGCACGGAGTGGCATTGGTGGGGAGGAAAGGGGGCCCGCGGGCCTTTGGGTCCCCAGACTGGTCCTGTGTTCCAGTTCAGAGAACAGCAGGACCGGAAGACGGGAAGGGAGACTGCCACAACTTGGGGTCCCCGGGTCTGAGAACAGTGCCTCGAACCCAGGCTCAGGCTCAGGAGCCGCGAGCGTACAGGGGAAGCCCAGCTTTGTCTGCAAGTTCGCGTCCTCTCCAGCAGGCGACCGGAGGCAATGCCTGGGTGTGTTTGACTTTGAGTCAGTTCCCCATCGCGTGAAGGGTACGCACAGGCATGGGTCCAGACACCGCGCACCCAGAGCCGGGTCCCTGCGCCCCCATCCCCTCACCAGCCCGTGGGGGGGGGGCGCACTCCAGTGCAGCTCGCGCTGCTCATGCGGTGTGAGACCCCCTGGTCCTCCCAGCCACACCTACCTCTCCCAGCGAAGACCGCGTTGGCCTTGCTGGCGGGCGGGTGGGCAGGCGGGCAGCCGCGACGCCCCCATCCCGAGCCCAGCCTTCACCTTGCCAGAACTGGCTCCCCGACACAGGACTGGGGATTTGGAACGGAGTCATTTTTTTTTAAACATTTCTTTTTTCCCAGCAGACCACATCCCCGCCCCCAGCTCGCAGTCCCCCGCCCTCCGCACATATACCCTGCACACACGCGCGCGCGCACACAGACTCTCTCTCTCTCACACACACACACACAAGCTCGCGCGCGCGCACACACACACACACACACACACACACGACGCGCACAGACACACACGCTCGCTCCCTCCTTCCCTCCCTCCCTCCCTGCCTCCGGCGCTCTACTCCGCGCCCTCCCGCCAGCCCGCCTCGCACGCACCGGCCTCGGCTCTTGCTCCCCGCTCCCGCCGCCTAGCGAAGCCGCGCTGGGCTCGGAGCTGCTGCTCATGGAGAAAGTGCCAGGCGACATGGAGAGAGAGCGCAGGGAGCGGAGCGAGGAGCTGTCCGAGGCGGAGAGGAAGGCGGTGCAGGCTACGTGGGCCCGGCTGTATGTCAACTGCGAGGACGTGGGGGTGGCCATCCTGGTGAGGTAGGTGTCGCTCCCGGCTTGGCGGGGCCCAGGACAGGGAGGGTGACAACGGCTGCGGCGCAGCGGCGGGCTCGGCCCGCCGCGAGCTGAGCTCCGGAGCCACCTCGCCAGCGATTGGGGACGGGTCATGGTGATGGGGGCGCCTTGGGGAGATGGAAACCTTAGCTGATTCCTCCCCAGCTGGGGGCTTGGGGCTCGCGAGGAGCTAGACGCGGGAGGGCACTTGGTCCCCCTGGCTTCGGAACTCACCCATCCCGGTCGGTCTTCCTTGTGAGTGACCCTAGTGACCCAACTAAAATGTACGGCTCGGGCATCTGACCAGACCCTCAAAGGGAACGGTAGGGGCTCCCCATTTTAGAGACAGGCAGAGAAACTGAGGTTCAGCCAGGAAAGGGCTTAAAGAGGAAACAGAACGCCCTGTCCAGCTCGGCCCAGCAGAAAGCAAGGGCTAGGGGCCAAGAGGTCCCGCTGCCCCGCTGCCCCTCTTGGGCCCCAAAAGTGAGGCTGAGAGCCAGCTGCAGGTGGGACAGGTAAGTGAACCCAGTAAGCTCCCGGGATGCAACCCTGGTGGAGTTTGCTAGGTTTTTTTTTTGGGGGGGGAGCAGTTTTCAGGAGACAGAGCTCCACTCTGGACCCTCTACCAGGTAGCGGCGTCTGTCTCCAGTATCTCTGAGGACCCCCCACCCTAAGTGATGCTGTATTTACACTTTAGCGTGCAGCCACACAGGCTAGACACTGACTCCACCGCCGAATCACATCTATAGACTTCCCACACATGCTGGACCCAGGGGTGCACACAGCAGAGACACCACGGTCACCCCAAGCCCCGACGTTCTTGACTGGGGTGGGGGGGCGAGACTGTCAATTCGAGCCGTTTGTAAGGACAGGGTGACTCCTGGGGTGGTTGGACGGGGCTGCTTTCCAGTCCCGGCCCCTTCTCTGGCTCTTCTCCCCCCCTTCTGCCTCTGCCTCCTGCAAGCCTGGGACCTGCCCAGCTCCCCGCCACCACTGCCTGGATTCCAACTCAGAAGTAGCATTAGGGAGGAAAAGAGCAGAAGTGTTCTAGAGGAGTTGGGGGAGGGCTCCCGAGGAAGAGGAAGGGGCGGCTGTTTCAGAGTTCTCACGCCCCCGGGAACACCGCCCTGGGTGGCAGGAAGCGAGGAAGGGCCACTGGGACCCCGCAGACAGATCGGCAGCATGGGCACCCGCCCACAAGCACACAGTGGGGAGCGGCGCCTCAGATGCGCCAGGGGCTTCTCTCAGCCTGTGCTACGCCCCTAGGGCCACCAAAAGGGAACGAGGCAAGGCCCAGAGGACCTGGAGACGTCCTGTGCAAGGCCTCATTATTTGTCAGTGAGTTTGTCCCCCAGGAATGGGAGAAGGGGGACAGAAGGACAGAGTCTAAGAGGAGGACTCAATTCTGTATCCTGGGACCCCTTTCTTCCCCTGACACCCCGGGGCCAGGCCTGGCTGGGGAGGTGTTTACTGATAGACTCTGCTCAAAGGCCCACAGTGAACCCCAGAAGGCCAGAGACCGCAATCAGGCCTGGCTTGCCAAAACCACACTTCACCTAACTCCATGCCTGTATTGATCGAAGCCAGCCTGACAACCCCGGGCCAGCACTGTGTAAGCCACTCCCTGTAGCTCCGGGCGCCACTGACTCACTGGCCCTAGGCCTGGCCAGGGAGAGGGGCAAGGCCACGACCCTTAGCTTCTCATAGCTCCTTCACAGGACCCGTCTGTGATCCTGGTCACAAACCCACGCTTTGACAAGTCCAACGCGGTCATCCATTGGACCAGGTGTGCTGACCACCCCTCCCTCCTTCCTGTCCCCACTGCCCACCCTGCCTGCAGGCCAAGGGGGCCAAGGAGGAGGCTGGCCACCAGCAGGAGTTCCTGGAAGATGCACAGGTGTAAAAGAGGAGGAGCTAGGTGCCTTAGGGTCCGAGTAGACCCCACACTTCCAGTCCCTGTCAGGGAGGTGCCTGAGAAGGGAACACCACCCTCCCTCCCGGTTGTAACGCTGACACCTTCCCCCTCACACGCAGACAAGCCTATTTCAGGCTCTTGGAAGCCCAGATGCCTCTGGGAGCTGAGAAATTCCCCAAGACTGGCTGCTGAGGCTTCTCCCTGGCAGCTCAAGCCAGCCAGGGAGGGGTGGGAGGAAACACAGGCTGGAGGGCAAGCCAGGATGACAGCCGAACTCAAGGCCCCTGCTCCCTGAGAAGGCCCTCCCTCAGGGCCACACACAGCGCGGCTGCTGAGGCGAGAGACTCACCTGTGCCCTCAGGACCGGTCCCTGACCAGCGGGCGGCGTTGAAGTCTGGTCCATTCTGTTGCTTCCTCCTTGGCAGCCTTGGGGACCAGCCGGTTCCCCGTCCATAAGATGGGGAGTAAAGCAATGCCCGAGATAGTAAATGCTCAATGCGTGTGTCCCCTGGGCGCCCTCCTTGGGGAGAGGAAGCAATAGCTTCTAGGCTGTGGCTACTAAACACTGTAAGAGATGCCTTGCGAATGGCAGCGTACCACACCCCCGTCATTGATTTTTTTTTTTTTTTGGCAAATGTGAAAACCAAAAAGCCCGAGATGCGTGCACATCATCTTGTGTAGGGTGCGTGCGCGTTCATACGTCATGACGGGCATGTGGGAACCAGAGGACAACCGTCCAGAGCCAGTTCTCTCCTTCCACCTTGTCGAGGGAGTGTCTCTCTTGTTTCTGCCACCGTGTCCCTCGGGACCCTGCCTCACTGCTGAGGAGTGCTGGGCTTGCCCGTGTGTGTGGCACCCTGCCTTTGGTTTTTGTTTTTGTTTTTAACACATTCTGGGAGCCAAACTCGGTTGCCAGGGTCATGCAATGAGAGATTCGACCAACTGGCTTGTCCCCCTGGGGCCACCGAGGTGTCTCTCCCCCCTGTGTCCCTCATCACAAAGCTTCCAGAGAAGTCCTATGTGTTCCCAGGCCCACGCCCCATGCACCTCTGAAGAAACCAACTTCGAAGCTTTCCTCAGACAGACAGATGAGGAGGGAGGGGTGTCATAAAGTGCTTGTCCGAAGTCACACTCAGCACCCCTGCAGGTTTCTCTCCTTCTCCACATGGACGGTGGTGCCCCGGCCACCCAGTCAGAACCTTCCCGCCAAAAGCAGCCCCGGGAAGGCCAGGCCAGCCAGATGTTCCGTGTCTATCTCCCTCACATCAGACTCTCGGGCCTGAGCCACAAGAGCTGCGAGCCTCCTCTGATGCCTCAGAGGGACAGCCAGAGGGTGACAACACCCAGGGACACGCAGGCCAGAACACTCTACACACTTTCTTCCGAAGAACCATTAGATGAAGTCCCAGCGGGGGGAGGGGGGAGCGTAGGTGGGGGTAATGGGTCAGAGCATTGGTGAGGCCCCGCCTCTGCTCGCGGTGTGGGGTTTGGTCCAACAGACTGGAAGGTGGCAGGGAAAACTAGTAGGTGGCACCAATGGCTGTGGTGGGAAGGCCACACTGGGTGGCCAGAGAGGGGCGGGTCTGACACGGGTGTGTGTGTGTGTGTGTGTGTGAAGGCTGGCCAACGGTCAGTGCAGCTGTCGGAGCGAGACAGAGGACTCTGGGCAGAGGCAGTGGAGACACAGCCCTGGAGGAGTGGGTGGGGACAGTTCGTAAGAAGTCTTGGGTGTCAAGCTGGGGGGGGGGCGGCGATGGACGCTTTGCGTGTGGGAATGATGTAACCAAGGAAGGCTGGGGGGATTAAACAAATCGGATGAACCAGAGCAGGAAATGGCCGGTGCTGGGGAAGTCCAAGGGGGGATTTCCTGGGGGTGAGGTGGTCCGTGTCTCCAACCCCATCATTTGAGAGGCAGAGACAGAGGATGTCCATGAGTTCAAGGCCTCACAGATAATCACAAACCCTGCCATGGAGGCAAAATCAGCTGTTTAAGTTGGATGGCCCAGTCAGTATTTGCTGCGGGGCATCCAGGAGGAAGAGGCTGAGCTGGGAGAGAAGTCTGTCTCTGTCCACTCTTCATTGGCTGAGTGAGCACGGATAGGTCGCCCCGGGCCAGGCCTCACTTCGTTCACTAGGAGGGCTCTCACTAAGGATGCCACCTTCACTGAGCCCCCCCATTCTGTGAACACCTTGCTGATGGGGGGGTGGGGGTGGGGGGGCAAGCCCTTTCCCTTTCTAGTCACAGCCCTCATGGTGTGGGGGTGCAGATGCCCATTTTGCGGATAAGGCATCCGAGCTATAGAGAAGATAAACTATGGGTGCTTGCCTAGGAGGTTGCAGGCCTCAGGATTCAATCCCCAGCACTGAGAGAAAACTTAAATAAGACGCTGGGTGTTGGGGGGCATGGTAGTGCATGCCTGTAGCCCCAGCACTCGGGAGGCAGGAGCAGTAGGAATGTGTGAGTTTCAAAGCCAGCCTGACCTACACAGATCCAGGCCAAACGGGGGAGGGGGGTTGGGGGGTGTGCTTGGCAAGACCTCAAAGAAACAGAAGGGAGAAATGAGGGGGAGCACGGTGGCCATGCTTGGGGGGGGTTTGCTGAGGCAGAGCCCAGGAGTTCAGCATTGTCCTGGGCAACATAACCAGTCTCCAGTTAAAAACCAAAACACTTGCTGGCCAGTGGTAGCACACACACGCCTTTAATCCCAGCACTCGGGAGGCAGAGGCAGGCGGATCTCTTTCAGTTTGATGAGGCCAGCCTGGTCTACAGAGCGAGTTCCAGGACAGCAAAGGCTACACAGAGAAACCCTGTATGGAAAAAGCAAAAGCAGAAACCAACCTAAAACAATTGTCCCACGATTCCAGAATCTCTCTCTCTCTCTCTCTCTCTCTCTCTCTCTGTGACCAGAGCAGGCCTCAGTGGGGTGTAGGTTCAGACAGTGCTCAAGAAGCGAGGCAGACGGTGGCCAGGCACACGAGGCTGCCAGCCTAAACAGGTCCCTGCAGTTGGTCCCTGCAGGGCCTGGCCAGAGGGAGAGCCGTGACTGAAGGACAGCTCTGTGTGAGAGAGAAAACCATACCTAGTTCCTGGTATGGGAGCATGTGTGCTTTTCCAACCCCACCTCCATCTTGGCCACTCCAGAGGGACTCGGAGGCAGCCCCCTGCCTCAGCGCTCACTCACCCCTTCCTCCTGCCAGGTTCTTCGTGAACTTCCCATCAGCCAAGCAGTACTTCAGCCAGTTTAGGCACATGGAGGACCCCTTGGAGATGGAGAGGAGTCCCCAGCTGCGGAAACACGCCTGCCGGGTCATGGGGGCCCTCAACACCGTCGTGGAGAACCTGCATGACCCAGACAAGGTGTCCTCTGTGCTCGCCCTGGTCGGCAAAGCCCACGCCCTCAAGCACAAGGTGGAGCCTGTGTACTTCAAGGTATGTCCTTCCGATTGCTCCCGGTCCAGAGCCCCCCCCCAACACCGCCCCAAGCCACCGGGCCATAGCTCCCTACAGCCTGTGGCTCCCAGAGGACTCCCTGAATACCAGAGAGCAGCAGGAGAGAAAGGCTGCTCTCTTGACAGCATGGTCTTCAGTAACCATACTCAGGCCAATCCAGGCTATCAGGGATCCTGGGGGCTGCGGGGGGTCAGGGTGCCCAGGCGTTTACTCCTCCTTCCCTCCTCTGCCCCCAGATTCTCTCTGGGGTCATTCTGGAGGTGATCGCCGAGGAGTTTGCCAATGACTTCCCTCCTGAGACGCAGAAAGCCTGGGCCAAGCTGCGTGGTCTCATCTACAGCCATGTGACCGCCGCCTACAAGGAAGTGGGCTGGGTACAGCAGGTCCCCAACACTGCCACGTGAGGAGGGGGTGAGGGTGGGCTGGGCAGCCTCCCTGCTGTGTCCTCTCCTGTCCCCTAGGCATCCCATTTCTCCTGGGACCAGGGACTGACTGCTGGGGCAGGGAGCCTTCAGGCATGCAGACGCAGGAGTCCGATACACTCAAACGATAGCACAACTCAAAGGGCCCGCATGACGGCGCCCTTCTGACTTCAGGCCCGGCTCTGTCTCTGTCCGTTCCCTGCTCTTGGCTGCACAGAGCTGAGAACTCCAAGTAGATCTGTCTGGGCAGTGCTTCTCCGTGCCTGGAGCAGGGATGGCTCAGGTCACCCAAGGCTGTGACTGTCTCCTGGTGGGGCGTCGGCTCCTCAGACTCAGAGCAGCGTGGGCCAGCCCCTTCCTCCCTGGTACCAATCCTGTTCCTCATCTCACACCTCATGCTGGCCAGTGAGAGCTTCCATACACTCACTCTCTGCCCTGACAGAGCTGGAGCCGGGGTGGTCACGAGGACACACGCACATGCCCAGGCCCACGGGGACCTACGTGGGTGTCACTCACATGGACAAAACTAGGGGATGTGTTTACTTCCAGTCTGAGCAGAGGACAGCACCCACTTTCTAGGCTCCAACAGGGTGGCTCTGGACTCAGAGACTCCTGCTGGCTGGGAGCATGGCGAGGGCCGGCCTTCCGTCGTGGCGATGTGGCGGCTGGGAACACTCAGACCCCCCCCAGACCCCCGGGAGGCAGCTGACTCTGGGAGCTGAATGAAAGGGCAGAGGCAGGGCTGAGGGAGGAAGGAGGAGAGCGGAGGCGGGAACAGGAACCAGGGGTCAGCCAGCGGCTTGGGACACGTGTTGTAGAGAAACATTCCCGGCGATTTCCCATGGAAAAGGCACCATCTCCTCAGGCTCTTCCAAGTCCCCCCCCACCACTCCCTGTTCAGGGGCCTCCCCACCCAGCTCTGTAGAGAAGGTCCCTAAGGGCAGGGAGAGGCCAGGCCTGTCGCCCCTTCCTGCCACTGACCAACCAGTGCCCCGCCCCGCCCCGCCCCACCATCAGCAGCTCCCCAGGAGAGCAGAACAGAGGTCTCAGGGAATGCTAGTTGCAGCCAGGTCAGCTCCAGATGTGCACAGCTGGACCTGGCCTGGCCCAAACCCTGGAGTAAACGAGAGGCAAGAAGAGTTTTACCTGCCAGGGGAGGGCAGTGGCCGGGTTGAAAAACTGGGGTTCCCTCCAGCTGCCACCGAGAGGGACCAAGGAGGACACTGTGGGAGGGGAGACAGCAGAGGGGTCACCTCCCCCCCCCCCCCCGCCCCTCCTCCCCAGGCAGGCTCTGCAGCCCCTGATGAGTTTGTTTACAGCCATGACACAAGACTTCCTGCTTTTGGAGAAAAGAGCTTTTTGACAGGGCCTAGAGGGACCGTGGGGAGAGCTGGCCAGCGGAGCCCCAGTGAATCAGAAACACATGGCTGGAGCCCTCCCGCTCCTGCCCCAGCTGGACCCCAGGGGCTTAGTGCTAGCCAAACCCCAAGCATCACCCTGCCCCCTCTGTGGTCCTAGCAGGCTGAATGGAGGCAGATGATGCAGGGGCCAGGCAAGCCAGGACTACCTCACCCGGGCCTCAGCACCCATCCTGGGCTTCCCCAGCTGTCCTGTGGCTCCCCTCACCTCTTGAGAGCCGCCATCCCCATCTCTGGTCTCCTGGGGTCTTGGGGTCCTGCAGGACACAGCCTATTGCCAGGACCTCCCTTGCCTCACGGGGTAGGGTGGAGTTTTAGGGCTGACTTCTAGAAGGGCCCTGTCCAACTTCTCTTATCAGGGAAACACACTGAGCCAGACACCACTGTTTATTGAACTGTCTCTGCTTCAGGGCGTGCGACTCTGTGTGGGTGGAGGGGCGCTGGGGCAGGGGGATGTGCCCGGCCAGTGAGCTCAAAGGAGTTTGGTGGACAGAGACAGTGCATGGAAGCCAGGGAGCCCTCTGCTTGGACAAGCAGCATATCCGATTTCCAAACAAAGAGACACAAGTTCGAGTCCCTCAGTCCGTCCACCCGTCCATCCGCCCATCCGTGTGGTATTTGTAGAATGTTTCAGTTCTCAGCAGACCAGACGCTGGCCACACCCCCCTGCTCCTACAAAGGGCAGGCCCAGGCATCTCCTCTCCTAGGCCAGCTCCAGGTAGCACAGGAGGTTGGAGGTAATGAGGGATTGCGAGACTGTGTTGGGTCTCAGAGGGAAGCGCCCCACCTCATGTCTCCCAGCCCCCTCCCCCGGGCCCCCAGGTGTCCCATCCGGCCTTCCCCCACCCACCCCTGTAACCTGTCACCTTTATCCCCTGTCTCATCCACAGTCCCTCGACCACACCACCCTCTTCGGGGCCATAGGACTCCTCCCGGCTCCCCCGTCCCTGGCAGCACTTTGGGCAGAAGGCTGAATTCTGAAGACACTCCTTGACCTTCCATTCCTGGGTGCCAAGGAAGCTGGAGGAATCCCGACTCAACTCCCCGAAAGGAGGCTTTCCTCACGGCCCTGGCCCCCCCAGGCTGCTGGGAAGGGTGGGGCTGGCTACCTTGATGCTGAACCTGGCAGGGGGGGACCCCTCTGCCTCTCAGTAGGGGGTGCCCATGTCTTAGCTTTTCTACTTACTGTTAGAGAGGGGCCTAGCAAGGGAAGCCAGGACAAGCCCGTGAGTCACTTGGGAAAGGAACTAGGCCTGCCTCATTCTGCCCACCAGCATGCGGGTTCACGTCACATCCCTAGAGTATCACGCACACACGTCTACCATATATACAGATATATTCTATATACGATCTCTATATAAATATATATAAATATATACATACTTATCTATCGCGTGTACCTGCAGGCCCAGAAGCCTCAGACCCGCCCGGCTGTGGGAGGCCAGGAGGAGTCCTGGGCACGCTTGCTCCTGGGGGGCTCTCGGGAAGCCAGGGAGAAATCCTGCAACAGCACCAGAGGATGGGGCCAGGCAGCAGAGTTGGGGTGACTCGGCTTGTCCCTATAACTAAGTGCTCTGCACTCCTGCCCCTCTGGAAAAAATAGAGAGAAAGAAAGAAAAAGGAAAACAGAAAAAATCTGGTTTGCCAGGTGTAGTGGCAGGAACCTGCAATCCCAGAGCTTGGGAGGCCCCAGGGTGTGGAATCATTGCAAATTTGAGGTCAGGTGGCCTCTACCTGGTCTCGATGATGGTGAGCTTCAGGCTAGCCTGAGCTACACAGGGAGACCCTGTCTCAAACAGAACAAAATAATATCTGACTCCTCTCCCCTTCCCAAGGGTCTGGCTGACTGACTTGCCCTAAAAAAGGACATGGACCAGGGCACACCAAGAGCTCAGAAGACCCCAGTGGGGTGGCAGCCAGTGTGTGTGTGTGTGTGTATGGGTGGGGGCAGTCTGAGTGAAGGACCCAGGAATGTCCACATCACCGGCTCACTTCAGCCGGGCCGCAGGAACGGGGATGCCATCCTCAGTGGACACCCAGGGCCTCTCCCTCCTGGCCTACTCCAGGCCACCAGGCCATCCTCCCCACCTAGTCTCCTAGGATAACACTGCTGGGGACCCCGAGGGTCCCCCTGGTCACATTACTGTCCTGGAGGATGTCTTGCTGCCGTGGCTACCGTGCCTGCATTCCTTCCTGTCTGTTCTCACGCAGCCTTCCTGTGACCGCCTGTCTTTTTTTGTAGTTTCTGATGTTTGTAACCAGACCCAGCTGTGTCATTAAACAGGTCCATTCTTCCTGTGTCTGGTCTGTTCTTTTCCGCCCCGGAGAGACCTGCCTTCACCTCTCTCTCCCCCTCCTCAGAAGTTCTAGATAAGGGTATCTTCATCAGAAAGAGCTCCCCCGTGCTGGCCCTAGCTGACCCTGGATCGCTCTGTGTGTTGGGAGCAAAGATTGCTCAGCGGCTAAGCGGGAAGCCAGAACATGGAGCAGGGGATAGGTCTGTCTTATTAAAAATGCAGAGAAAGCCGGGCGTTGGTGGCGCACGCCTTTAATCCCAGCACTCGGGAGGCAGAGGCAGGCGGATCTCTGTGAGTTCGAGGCCAGCCTGGTCTACAGAGTGAGCTCCAGGACAGCCTCCAAAAGCTACAGAGAAACCCTGTCAAAAAAAAAAAAAAAAAGAGGAAGAGGATGAGGAGGTTGGGGACGCAGCTCAGTGGAAGAGCTCTAGCCTGGCTTTCATTCACCGGGCTCTAGGCTTCATCTCCAGCACTGCCACTGGGAGATAAGAAAGTCAGTGTCTCTGGGGTTTTGTCCTGGGAATCCCGCAAGGACAGGGAAAGAAGGGCACAAAGTCAAAGCCGGCTTGGTAACGCAACTCTCGTCACCCCAGCCCTCGACAGGCTGAGATTGGAGGAGGACAGCCTGGGCTACATCCCCTGGAAAGGGGAGGAAGGAGAGAGGATGGGGGGGGCTGGTGAGTCTAGATGTCCATGCAGTAGGGCCCTGTTTGTGGGACTAGTCACGTAATCAAAGCCTTGAGTTCTAGGCCTGCACACTGGGCATCCCATGCTGGATGCTGAGTGCAGGTCCTGATGCAGCAGGGGCTCAGCCCCTGGGTACCGCAGAATGGGAGCCTCCTGGAACCAGCTTTCAACTTTGCCCTCTCAGCCCAGTCTCTCTTCCCAAGCTCTGCTGGGCCAAGCCTGTCCATCCCCCACGGCCACGGTCACAACAGCAGCACCAAGTCCCCCAGGAGGGACCAAGGAGGTCACCACAAGGAGGAGGGGAGGGGGAGTTACGGGAGAAACAGGAAACAGCCTCTGCCCCTTGGGAGGGCTTCAGGCTGTCTGGAAGGACTCAGCTGACACCGGCCACAGCCTTGTCTCCCAACCCCGTGCGCGCTTGAGTGTGAGCCTCGCCTCCCTTTATCTCCTGGGCCTGGCACAGCGGAATACAAGCTGGAAACCCAAAGAATAAATAAATAGCAGTCTTAGAAAGCCGGACAAGCACACGGGCCAAGAGTAAGCTGTGAACTGAAGCAGGGTGCTGAGTGCCGGGAGGGCGGCGCAAGCCAGACCTTTCCAGGGAGGGAGTGTGCCAGACCGGTGGCCTCCCCGAGCTCACATTCAGTCTTGGCGCCCTGCTGTGTGACTCTGGGCAAGACACTGAGAGCCTCGATTTTAAAACAGGAGGCCCGGCGTGGCGGTGCTCCCAGCTCTCGGGAGTTAAGGGAGGAGGATGGTGAGTTCGAGACCAGCCTGGGCTACGCAGCAAGACACCGGGGAGGAGCACGGGGTGGGGGTGGGGGGGCTGAGCACTGAGAGGGGTATGAAGAAGAAAGATGTTCATAACAGCGCTGGCTGGCTGGACACTGAGGACCAGGAGAAGACAGGAAGGCTGCGCCTCTGAGCAGAGAGTCCTGTGAGAGAAGCTGGGATGAGAAGGAGGGCGGGCGTGCTCCCTGGGGTACTGGGCCCTGACAGAGCTGGTTGGTAGGGTGCCAGAGGGTCCCGATGGGGCATCTGAGGTCATGATGGGGCAATCGTTCCTGAGAAGTCCGCCCCACAGTCGTCTTGAGAATGGCGTAGGTGGAACCTGGAGCCATCCTGGAACAGGCCATTGAGGACTCTCCCCTCTTCCTACCTTCTAGGGAGGATGTGGGCCATCACCCCCTCCACCCGCTGGGGATGAGGATGGAACCGGACAGGATTCTGGTGGCTGGGTTTTAAGCCAGAGCAGGGGCAATGTCTGGGGCATAGAACAAACAGTGCACCGCATGCAGTCAGCCTTCTTACTGAAATGCCGAGCAACTGGGTCAGCTCCCCTGGTGAGCTCAAGCTGAGAGCCACCGGGGTGTGGGCAACGAAAGGGGGGTGCGTTGCGAGGAGACGGCGGCCTCTTCGGCCCAAGACGCCAGCGGTACAGCCCCGCAGCGACCCCTGCTGGCTGCAGCTGGAACGTCACCCAAGAAAGCAACCATCTGTAGCTCGCCAGCCTCCCGGCGGAGGAGAGGGGCGAGGAGGCGCGGTATGAGGTCAGGGTGGGGAGCAGCGGGTTGGCTCCAAAAGGGATGTAGACTTACTGAAGTCTGAGCCAAAACCGAGAGTGTACATGCCTCGTCAGCAGGAAGTATCTTCCCGCAGTCACCAAGTGGAAAAAGTTAATCAGTGAAGGCGTTGGCACCAGATAATGCCAGCGTTTGCTAAACTGAGGCAGGAGGGTCCTGAGTTTAAAACCAACCTTGGCATCTGCGTAGTGAGTTCCAGGCCAGGAAGAGTCATATAGGGGGACCTTCTCTAAACAAACAACAAACAAACAAACAAAAACAGGGGAAAAGGCTCCTCATTTCAGTGCTTGCCTGGTAAGCCCAAGAAACTCAATCCAATGGCGAGCACCCGGGGAAAAAGCCGGGTGTGGTGACACACGCTTAGAAATCGCAGGAGCGTCGCTGGGGCTCCCTGGCCAGCCTCCCCTGATGGTGAACCCCGGGTCCCAGGGAAGGTCTCAAAACACAGTGGAAGGCACCTGAGGCTGACCCCGACCTCCAGTGGCATCCAGAGAAAGAACAAGGGGGCTGAGGAAAGAGAAGCAAAGGTTTCTTTTTTTTTTTTTTTTTTTTCGAGACAGGGTTTCTCTGTATTGTTTTGGAGGCTGTCCTGGAACTCACTCTGTAGACCAGGCTGGCCTCGAACTCACAGAGATCCGCCTGTCTCTGCCTCCCGAGTGCTGGGATTAAAGGCGTGCGCCACCAACACCTGGCTAGAGAAGCAAAGGTTTTAAATGCAAAAAAGGCTACAGAGTGGGACCCTGCTCAGAACAAAGCAGAAGGGGGTGGGCTAGTTAGCTTCTGCTTTGCCCGAGGAAACGCCTCCCGAGTGCTGGGGTTAAAGGCATGTGCCATTACTACCCTGCTGGCATTTTCTGCATTACTGATCCATTTGGGAAGGTCCAGTTTTCTGCGAGCAGAGCCACCCTTGGGCACTGAGTTCTCTAAGAAAGCAGGCTGAGCAAGCCACAGAGAGCAGCATCCTCCTTGACCTCTGCACAAGCTCCTGCCTCCAGGCTCCTGCCTCGCGTTCCTGCCCTGACTTCCTTTATTATTGTTTGGTTTTTAGCCCTGGCTGGCCTGGAACTCCATCTGTTAGACCAGCTGGCCTCAAATTCGCAGAGATCCTCCTGCCCGAGTGCTGGGGTCAAAAGCGCTACCACCTCCTGACCAGACTTCCCGTTGTGACTGATTAAAAGAGATTCTTTCCTCCCTAGGTCGCTGTCAGTCACATTGCTTATCACAGCCGACATAACGCCATTTTGTTCTCCATTGCTGCTTTCCCTGGATCCGATCTGCCTCAGACCTGCCCCCAGAGAAAGACAGGCCCAGGGTAGGGAGAGTGAGGGTTCTCCTGCTGGGGCCTTGACTACGGTGCCCAGCTGACTACAACCAAGTTGGATGGGCAGTTTTAATAAGAAGACAGCAATGGCAAGCTTCAGCCCTGCCGGCCTGGCTTCAGCTTCACATGGTTGGAGCAGGCTGTGAGGGAGACCTGGGCCTGCTTTACGAATGCACCGAGACTGGGGTGTGGAGGAGGGGCAGGGTGTTGGACTGGCCTTTCTCTGAGGACAGACAAACATGGGCTTTGCTAGAGAGCTATGTGGAGGCCCTGGCAGAGAGGCCAGCATGTGGCCCAGGTGGCTGGACACCACCCTCCATTCTTGGCAAGGTCTGAGGGTGGTGGCCACCGTGTTGCCACAGCCTTCGCTTCTGGCCCAGCTAATAGATAGATGTTCCTTCCCTGTGTGCTCCGGAGGTGGAAGTGGGGGGGTCTGAGGCAAAGCTCTAGGCTGGCCTTGAACTCATTATGTAGTTGAGGATGGACTTGAACTCCTGATTTCCCAGTCCTTCAATTGCAGGCAAGCACCACCGTACCTGCTGCAGGGTCTCTTTTGTAGGGCCTCAATCTGCCCAGCATGATAGCTCATGCCCACAATCCTTGTACTTGGGGTGTGTGTGGGGGTGCTTGGCTTAATGCCACAGGTTCAAGGCCAGCCTGGGCTACACACTGAGTACCAGGACCGTGTGGACTCTATAGCAAAAGCCTTATCCTGAAAACAAATCTTTAGAAAGATTTATTGATGGATTACACAGTGTTCCGACTGCATGCATGCCCGCAGGCCAGAAGAGGGCACCAGATCTCATTACAGACGGTTGTGAGGAGTCACTAGGTGGGTGCTGGGAATTGAACCCAGGACCCCTGGAACAGCAGGCAGTGCTCTTAACCTCTGAGTCATCTCTCCAGCCCCTTAAAAATATTTTTAAATGTGCATGACTGTTTCATCTGCATGTGTGTCTGTGTACTGTGTGTGTGTGTTCCTGGTGCCCTCAGAGATCAGAAGAGGGTGATGAACACGGGTGCTGGGAACTGAACCCGGGTCCTCTACAAGAGCAGCCAGTGTTTCTAACTGCTGAGCCGCCTCTCCAGCCCCATAATCCTTTATACTTTTTATGTGCAGCTCCAGCGGCTTTGGCAGAACTTTCCCAGATGTGATAAGATTGTCACAGGAAATCCAGGGGAAAGGAAACCACACAAGGACAATGTCCAAACAGCCTGAAGGTTTGGAATCGTCAGGGCCGGGATAACAGAAATTCTGCATGACGCCTCAGCCCTGGTCGTGATAGGCGTAGTGGAAAACCGCCCCTTGTTCCTTGACCTTCCGCACACTCCCAGAACTTTGCTATACACACTTACACATTGTGTCAAGTTGGGATCATGTCACACCTGCTGGCTTTGCTACAGCTTTTG